GGTCACCTTAAGAGTGTACAGTAATTTACCACTGTATTAATACAATTATCTTAACTGCATTAGTCTACAACCAAATTCCTGTATGAGTTTACTATAATAAATACTAATATACTGTAGTACAGTACAGTATTAATATGTCCAGTACAAGAAGAAACTGTAGCTAGTAGTACAGTATAAGGTATTTACCCTGAGAAAACCCTTCTCACATCTGTACCTAACCTAAGGTAATCACCCTCAGTAGCATTAACGTTTTTCATCACCTCCCACAAAAATGGAACACCATAATATGAAATAAAAGTACCATATCATAATTTTTACTTGGAACATCTTCAAAGCGAATTCACCGACATGTTTACTTTAACCCATAAGAATAAATATAGAACAAAGCAGCGAGGGAAAAGAAGTGACCGTATGAAAACAATACATAACATTAAGTTAATTCAAAATATACAGCTATCACACGGAGACAACGAAGTTAAATTAGTTTTGGCAGCGGATGACTTGAACCAGACTTAAGACACCTAACATAACCAGAATATATTGAACAGGTGGCTCACACAATACACAACTGCTGCAGTGTTGTACGGGATATATATGTAAGTGCTTTAGTATCACAGCCTCGGATACTGTGAAGATTAGGAACCCACCGCTTATTTCACCCGATGATCAAACACCCTAATGAGGTTAGGTTAGGTTAGATTAGGCTATGTAAGGTTAAGTTATGTAAGGTTATGTTATGTAAGGTTAAGTTATGTAAGGTTATGTTGTGTAAAGTTATGTTATGTTAGGTTATGTAGTGTTATATTTGATTAGGTATGGTTAGTTTAGTTAAGTCAGTTCATAATCATCTGGTGATATAAGCTTGGGTGGCTAATTTTCAGGTGATTTTTGTCTTTACTGAAGTGTATATTCAGGTGAGTTTAATATCTTACTCAAAAGGCAGCCGGATCCTTAACCCCCACCTTATCTAAATGCTGTACAGTAAAACCCTCGGCTCACAGCACTGTACTGTATGTCACTGGTAATAATCACATTGAGTATTGAGTACAGTATGTTAATTAACATACTTTTTGTTTTATGTGCATGTATGTGTGTACTGCATCTCAGAAATTTCTATCAAGGTTTTGATAAAAGACGAGAATAATTCCAGTGACATTTTAAAAGTTTGTTTTCCTTGATATTTTCTCTAAAAAATTCATTATAAACTAAAACACAAATTTGATGCTGAATAAGAAATACAAAAATACTTTGCCTTACCCAGGATACAGCAAATAGGCCACAGCCTTCATGTCTATGACTCTTCATTGAAAAACTTTGCTGAAATACAGTACAGTAGGTCTGATTTAGCAGGAAACAACCACCGAGAGCTACACACGCCTAACATCTGTCAGTGTTCAGCAATATACTGTAGTCCTGCTAAAATCCAGCCCATTCATTATACTGTACAGTACTGGTACTTCATATACTGTTGTTTTGTTTTAACCTGTTGAAACATCAATAATGAGGAAGTGACACATGATGGGTAAGGGTAAAACTAAGTACAGTACAGTACTCTACCATATAAGGAGGTCCAAAATTTATAAACAACAATTAAAATCACATCTACTGAAAAATATTGTGACTCTAATCCAATTATTGAGGCAACTTCCTCAAAATTGTAAAACTGTATTATGTTCTGTGTATTATATGCAGGCAGAGTCACTATGTTTTGCACTGAATATATTACCCAGTCCTTATGTGGTCTGTAGAACATTATATATTTCCTCTATTTAACAGACTATATGGAGAGGAAAGTCCTTTATATCAAGGGTCCGTTAGATGTGAAACCTCCGTTAACGGATTAATAATATCTCCGTTAGCCAGAATCCCTCAAAACCGGAACTCTCTGATAGCCTGAATTTAAATTTTCTCGGAAAATCGTTCCCAAAACCGGAATTTTCTGGAAAATTATGACTTTGGGAAAGATTTCCGGTCCCCAGAAAATTACGGAGATGGGGGAAATTTTTCCAGGTTCAAGAGATGATGTATAGTACTGGACAATTTTTGGAATGTCCAAAAACATTTTACTGTTACCCAGAAAATTCCAAGGATGACGGATTTTTTCCAGCTTTGAGAGAGTCGCTTCGTTACCCGGAAATCTCTCATTCCCGGAAGTGCTCTGCACAAATTGTTCCGGCTAACAGAGATACAGTAAGTCCTCGCACAACGGTTTCGGTACTACGTTGCTGAACTTTAGAGACCAAAAATTCATTTAATGTCCCGGTGATCCGATACTAAGTCGTTTTGCATCGTCATGGACTACATTCTACGGCGCATCGCCCACTCTTGTCTGGCCGCGCTGCGCTCTCAGCTCGGAGCGCTGCCCTCACTCGCGGAACGTCACAGAGTCCCCAAGCGACGCCAAGCCAGTCTCTGTTACGACTTCACATCATTTGTGTATGCTTAAGTGCTTTTGCTCTAAAACTGTACTTTAACCATTCAAAATGGCTTCCAAGCGCCCGTCAAGTGCTACTGATGCTAGTTTAGTGAAGAGGCAAAGTAAGACCATTACCCTTGCTTTGAAAATGGATGTATTAACCCGATTTGAAAAGGGGGAACGAGCTGTGGACATAGCCGCTGTGCTTGGTCTAACCCCCACAACGGTGCATACTATCCGGACCAACGCTGACAAGATTAAGGTTAGTGCTGGAAGTGGTTCTTCTCTGAGTGCTACTAAGACGACTCGTACTAGAAGCACTGTGATAGAGAAGGTGGAAAAGATGCTGGCAATGTGGATGGAGGACCATAATCAACGCAATGCCCCTGTGAGCCTTATGGTTATCCAGCATAAGGCCAGATCCTTGTTTTACGACTTAAAGGAAGAAGAGGATGAAGGATTGAAGGAAGAGACCTTTACAGCCAGCCGAGGATAGTTTCAATGATTTAAGCATCGGTATAACTTCCACAACATAAAGATGACTGGTGAAGCTGCCAGCTCAGATACGGTTGCTGCCGAGACATTCCCGCCAACAATGGAGGAGGGGCAACCAGCGGCGGAGGAACCCCAGTCAGAGCAGGAGGAGGAGGAGGCAGCCACAGAGTCTCAGTGACTCACCCTCCTCCACTCCCACCCTCCTCCTCCGCTCCCACCCTCCTCCTTCGCTCCCGCCATCCTCCTCCTTCGCTCCACTACCCACCACACAATCGCTCTACCACCTCCGCCCATCTGAGAGTACCAATACAAACTTAGTACTGTGGTTCTATATACTATTTTCTATAGAAATGGCAATGATTTTCTGTATATGTAACTTTTTTCATGGGGCAAAGGGAGGCTGGGGAACATAACTCCCGTATTTTATATATTTCTTATGGGGAAAATTGATCCGCTTAACGTTGTTTCGCATAGCGTCACATTTTCAGGAACATAACCCCGACGTTAAGCGAGGACGCCCTGTATCACTGTAGTATATGGAGAAAGAAATCCATAATATAGAAGTTTCAATATATATATATATATATATATATATATATATATATATATATATATATATATATATATATATATATATATATATATATATATATATATATATATATATACACTGTTAGGTTAGGTTATGATGGTTGTTTTTTTTGTATAAGAACAGATGTATTTAAATGTCAACACATAAATAATGGTTTGTTTTCCTCAATAATACAATTAATTTGAAACACAAAATACAAAGAAAAAATAATGCAAATTCTTTTCACAAGTGGCAAGGTGAAAGTGTCTCCAAGCCTCAGGGAATTAGAAACACTGATTTATATCTGATTTCAATAGAAATAAATAATTGACTGACAGCCTGGTAGTTCGTTCTCTTCAAAATCAGATGTTGATGAATTATGGCTTTTATTAACCAGTGTGGATAATCGTACAGTACAGACAAATGCCGCCACACTGTCTCTGGTAATGGTCGAAGAATTGCACTCATCACGTTGCCTCTTGTATGAAGTTAGAATAGGTTAGGTTAGGTTAGGTTTCTCATGCATCATTAATTTCTTCATCGTGAGAAAATGTAAGATTTGGGTGCTACTACAGTGTGCAATCTACAGATATACAGTATTTAGTCTAACCTAACCTAAATATCTTATAGAGTGCATGCTATAGTAGCACCAAGATCTGTCTGTACATTTAGCCTCAACCTTCATTAACTCACTGAGGAGCTAAAGGCACACATGTATTTTAACTTTCAAATTTCAAAAACTTTTTATCAGACACAGTGACCTAAGCACAGCAGGGGAGGGGGGAGGCTACTATATGCTGTGTTACTGTGGGAATAGAAATGATTACCCAGACCTAATACAGTATGAGAACCATAACAGGGACCAATGCTACCTTGTTACCCCAGGGACCACTGCTACCTTGTTACCACAGGGACCAATGCTACCTTGTTACCACAGGGACCAATGCTACCTTGTTACCCCAGGGACCACTGCTACCTTGTTACCACAGGGACCAATGCTACCTTGTTACCACAGGGACCAATGCTACCTTCTTACCAGGGACCAATGCTACCTTGTTACCACAGCAACCAATGCTACCTTGTTGCCACAGGGACCAATGCTACCTTGTTAGCACAGGGACCAATGCTACCTTGTTACCACAGGGACCAATGCTACCTTGTTACCAGTGACCAATGCCACCTCGTTACCACAGTGACCAATGCCACCTCGTTACCACAGGGACCAATGCTACCTTGTTACCACAGCGACCACTCGTTACCACAGTGACCAATGCTACCTTGTTACCGCAGCAGATCCAAGAGATGTAACCCCAGTGATATTGACCCTGGAAGGAGTTTGAGAGGTCACATACAGGTCATCAAGCTGTGAGAGATGATGATGATGGAAAAAACAAGAATATAAGAAAGAAGGAAAGAGAGAAGAATAATTGGAGGATAAGAGGGAGAAATATATTAGTTGTATTAGTAAACCTATAAGAGAAAATAATAACAATAACATTAATAATAATAAGACTGTACCTGTAGGCGATGGACATGGCATTAAAGAGCTTGGTAAGAGAACTATCAATGCTGACAGTGTCAATCCTGGCTGCTGTGTTCTTCTTGGCGTAGGTAATAACTCCTTGTTCATCCTGGGGAACATAATGTCCTGCAGGATCATTATTCCCAGCATATACATCCCCAGGGATCTCCAATAGGACATTTTCCTCGTCATCTTGGGCATCTGCCTCAAAATCAGACACCATAAAATGCCCCGAATGAATCACTTCTTTCTCGCCTTTTCTACCCATGCTGACACCACTACTACTGGCTGACGTATCTGCCGTCATATTGCTGACACATAACTCACGTATTGGCTGACACACTGTTGAGGGACTTTTTCCTTCTCTCATATCATCAAATATATCCTCCTGGATCACCACCCATCTCGTCTTGACTCAGTACCTGTGTTGACTACTGGTCCAGCAGGGTCAGTGATGCCAACTCCTGCACCCACCACGCTCATTCATACACGTCGCCTTCTAATACCTGATGTTACACGCCAAACTCATACACCTCCCATCGTTATACACAGAACACACTTCCTAAGTCCCACAGCAGCTCTTATACGCCCACCTCACACTTGTTCTCACTCATACACGCTAAGATGCGCTATTTATCGGTCAAATGTATGGTGACTTGACCTAAACTATTGTCAATATCATTTAACAGGATAAAATCAAAATACATTAAATAAATATTGTAAATAATCTCGAAAGTGAGTTTGTTTTTATTTATTCAATTTGAAATTAGTCTAAAATTATTATTCATTTTGAGGCGATGTTGTATAAGCATGCACTATAGACCTTTAGGGATACATACATAAATACGAATCCAGGAAAAAAGTCACAGAAAAAAGGGCACCGAAAAAACCTAACCTAACCTACGTACAATACTAGCATATATATATATATATATATATATATATATATATATATATATATATATATATATATATATATATATATATATATATATTGTGTTGTTAATGTGCACAAGTCATGTGACTTTTTTCCTGTGACTTTATTTCTGTTCACCATAAATACACACAATATGGATAGACTCATATTCGTGAAGATGGATAAATAGATAGCTACATACATTCGTACATAGATAAAAATATAGACAGATATATATGCAATTATATATTGCACAGTATATCAATATTCACTCCCAGTTATCTGTTTATTTACGGCAGCTGTTAATGTCAATGCCCTTAACACTATATTATTCCTAACTAACAATATTTAAGACAAAATAACCAACATACATTATATTTCTCACTTTCTCAACAATTACATAATTCTAATGTAATGGAAATATTAGAGTATATATATATATATTTATATATATGTAGGTATTAGGATATAAATTAGCCCCGTGTGTGAGGTGTGGCCCCCGTCTTGGTAACACTGACACTTTGTTGCTAGCCGAGGAGGAACCTCGTGCATGATGACCAAACTTATTGTTTCATTAATATCCCTTTCATATTTCCTAATTTTTTACTAATATCGTAAATCTATACCATGTAATATATCCCCCATTTTATAGTCTAGTGTGAGGATGAATTTCTGGGGTCATTTGTAGTGTCTTGCAACAATTTATATTGATTGCAGTGAAAGTTTTGTATTGTGAGGAAGCGTTCATGTGACCCACTAACTTTGCTATAATTCTTGATACACTATAAGCATCTTATATTTACTGAGGGTTATATTAAAAGTATATACAGTACAGTAAATATGACCAAATATACCCCAAATTTATAATTACCTGTAAATTATAAATTTTATATACCATTTACTTATATTAATATCAGTATGAGTTAGGTACATTGATTATATTGTACATCTTATTACACACGACATTAATATATAATGTATGAATAATACGACTATAATACCGATGTGTTACAATTTTAAGTATTATCGATCATCTGCCATCACACCCAGCTGGATGAGCCCCCCCCCTCATCTTTCTCAATGCTTCATACAATTTCATTTACTTTCGCTCTTTAATTCTTCTAATATGACATTTTAAATTATTATAGAACCTATATAACAACATACAAAATAACTGAATCATATCACTACTAATATTTCATTATTTAACCGAGTGAACTTATATGGATTTAAAACGAATTTAAATATTTGGTTTTTACTTATAATGATAAAGGCCTTACTGTGCCACCTATGGGGAACTAAATGAACCAACTTAGTAAATATTGCCCGCAAAAAAAAAAAAAAAAAAATATATATATATATATATATATATATATATATATATATATATATATATATATATATATATATATATATATATATATATATATATATATATATATATATATATATATATATATATATATATATATATATATACTCTTTAATAGATGTTCTCAAATGAATAGTTCCTATAAGTAGATCTCTATCACTTTTCCTTGTGGCATTTCTATCACAAATTACATGTAAGCGAGATATTTAAAAAATTTTATAATTTACCGTAAATACTCATCTGAAAAATCTCCCGGGTAACCGCGTGTGGTCTGTTTGTATAAAAACCGCCCCGCTCATACTCTCATCCCCCCCTCACAAAAAGGAGTAAACTTACATCATAATGCTCCTGTAAAGTTACTCTCATTGGTACCAGACATCAAAATAAGTACTTTGTTTAATATGGCGGGGGGTCCGAGGGGCTAGTTAATTAGTTAGGTAAGGTTAGGTTTCTTTGGTTGGTTAGGTCACATTCGATTCGGTTCATTATTATTTATTTGTATAGAATGAGTTACTCAGAATGATGAGATACATATATTGCATGTATTGAAGACCTTAAAATAGTTGAGAGAGCACTTGTAAAAATTTACCATATCTATTATTGAGTTTACGTCTCGTAAAAGTTTACTATACGTTACTTTACTGCCACGAATTGACTCATTAGCCACTTGGGCGGTCGTTCACATCTCATTTGGCAAGTACTGTACTGGGAATGCACTGGCTCCTGAATGTATGTGAACCTTCTCCAGTGCTAGTTGTCAGGTCCTAAAAAGAGCTCACATTTGTTGCCGTCACAACTCTAACAGGTTGTTCGAAGAGTTCATAATTCTCACTCAGAAAAAGTGGGGCGGACATCTGACAGCTCCAGGTATGGTCACTCAACTGAGTAGTGCCCTCTGAAGTGTTTATACACCTCAATTAGGTCACCCTTTGCCTGTCTCTAGTATAAACTAGGCAGTTACAAGTATTCTAATCTTTGTGGGAAACTGAGGTGGTGCCATGCAGGCTCTAGCATATCTTGGGGACCAGACAGGGAGGCATAGTACCATGTTGGTTGGCAGTCCTTTACAATGCTTCTGCTGCTTGTTTTTCATCAACTAAGGTTAGGTTTAATTAGAAATAACCACTTTTAACACATTTACCCAAACTGTGACAGTGTCCACTACAAAACACAGCAAAATTGCAGCATTTTAAAATTAATTTTCTATGAAAAATTGGCGACAAGTATGTCGTCTTCAATTACCAATAAGTAAGGTAGTCATAGATACAGATGGATAGGCCGAATAGCCTGGATAGACATGGATAGATAGGTAGATAGATTGATAGATATCGTCACATAGGTGCATACAGGGGGTCCCCAGGTTACGAACGGGTTCCATTCCTGACGACATAGTCTAAGTCCTTATATACATCTAAAATCATTTAATTTAAGACAAAAAAGAAATGGATTGACAAAATACAGTAAATGAAAGTAAAAAATGTCATCTGATGAAATATTGTAAATTTCAAGTTTAACACCGTTCATATCGGAGGATATTCATAAGTCGGGGTCCCTCTGTATACATAATAAATACTGTATACTGTACATTCACCATGTATACAGACAGATATTCAGTAACATAATCATACAGATTCAGAGGTTCACCATGTACAGTTGATAGACATTACAGGTTCAGTATGTATACAATGGTAAATAATTCATTAAGTACAGTACAGTACAGTACTGCAGTTATTAATACTGTCAGTGAAGGTGGGGCACTGTTACCGTGTTGTACAGTCTCAAGATAAAACACAGCTGTACTGTACAGTACTAACATTATAAACTGGTAGATATACAATAATTAGTCTTGGTACAGTACGTACAGTATATTGTGAGCTTCACCACCAACTTACAACACATGTGTCACAGTTTTCCAGAAATTTATATGCAAGATAAAAAAAGTTTAATACTGTATTTACCTACTGGCCACCCATTAGAGGTGACCATGCCGAGGGCAGGAGGCCAGTGGCGATTTATCCATATTTCTTGATAGTCTTGTCCAGGATTATTTTGAAGCCCAGTACTGTACTATTCTTGATTCCACAGCTTGAGCCAACTGTTCCATTGATCTACCACCACCACAGCTTGTGCTAGTAGACTGTTCCATAGAACTACCACCACCACAGCTTATGCTAGTAGACTGTTCCATTGATCTACCACCACCACAGCTTGTGCTAGTACTGTTCCATTGATCTACCACCACCACAGCTTGTGCTAGTAGACTGTTCCATACAACTACCACCAGAGGGTGGAGTTTAATAATCAACCCAGATAAGTGAGCCTGGCACCATGCAGGCTGAGACAGAACAGGTCTGGACACTTAGGATGTGGTTAGAAAACTCATTGGTATTAACTGACCTCACCTTTCTCAAAGTTTCCATTGTTCATTAACATGGAAACTTATTCAAAATTAAGGACAAGTTAACACCAGTTACAGTTGGGTCTCACATTACGCGGTTAATGTAACCCGGAGGGTACCGCGGAAAGTGAGGAACGCGTAAAGTGAACAACATAACATATGGGATTAATTGAAATGGAGTCCAGGCCGATCCCCAAACTCCACTTTTTGACGACACATAACTATGTTGCAGTAAAAATTTTATCTTAACTTTATGATGGTATGAAAAAACAAGTAATATAGAAGAGGTTAGGTTAGGAAAGATAAAGGTTAACATAGGAAAAATAAAGGTAAGGTTAGAAAACTAAAAATTATGTGGAACACTTACGGTAGTAGAAGAGATGGGTCGGCATACGGGGATGGAGGCTGGTTCCGAGGCAGAGGGCAGATTACTGGCCCTCAGGTGAATCACCATTACTAGGTGAATCATCATCACTGTCACTTACAGTTGTCAGGGCTTCCCTGACAAATCCCTCAAAGTCAACTTCACTGTCACTATCACTGGCTTGGGCTGGCTGTGGTGGGTTGCGGGTGAAGAAATCTGTTATGCTTTGCTGACGGCTGGCGTTGATGTTGTCGTGATACACCTTGATGTACGGCTCCATAGCCTGCACCAGCCGGTTATGGAAGACTTCATAGCGGTCATCGTCATTGTCGCGGGAAAGGAAGGACTTCATCTTCTCTGCACACTCCATGGCACCCTTAATATCACTATGACTTAAATTGTGTTCTTCGGAGACTGCCGCACCTTCTTCCTCCTCTTCACTGACGTGTTCTTCTTCCAACATCTCGTCGGCAGTCACTTCAGGATTTCTGATCACCTCCAGGATGTCGTCGTTGGTGGTCTCGGAGAAGCCTGGAACTGTAACAGTCTGCGCAGCTTCTCTGGCAAGGTCCACTGCTACTGCAACATTCTGAACCTCACCAGTCACAGATTGACTCCTCCTCTCACCTGGTATTCCATGCAACACATGTCTCCATGCGTGACGAATTGTAGCAATAGACAGCTGATCCCATGACTCCACCAAGATGTCCACAGCTTTCTTGATGTTAAATACTCTCCAGAATTGTTTGAAGAGTATTTTTTGCTGTTCTAACTGTTGTTCCTCATCTTCGTCGCTCTTGCTATCGGTGGTGGTGTCACTCAGGTTACGCAACTCTTCCCTGGTGTTGGTGTAGTCGTTCAGGAGCTGGAATTTTTTTGTTGAGAATGCAGCTTTCACATTGCAAATCAACTCCTGGTCCATGGGCTGGATTAAAGACGTAGTGTTGGGAGGAAGGAAGACCACTTTTACGTTGGGGTGACGATCTAACAGTAGGGGCGAGTGTCCTGGTGCGTTGTCCAGCAGCAACAAAATATTAAATGGGACATTCTGTCGCTCACAGAATTTCTTTACATCGGGAACAAAACAGTCATCAAACCAGGAGAGGGACAGTGTAGAGAACATCCATGCCTTACGTGCTGTCAGCCAGTGGACATTTAGCTTGGTCATGTCCATGCTCTTGTAGGAGTGCAGCTTGCGGGCTGTGTGGATCACCGATAACTTGAGCTTATAGGTACCGGAGGCATTGGTGGTAAACAGGACGGTGATGCGTTCCTTCTGCATTTTCCGGCCCCGAATCCTGCTGGAATTCTTCACAACGAAGGACTTGGAAGGTAGTTTTTTCCAGAAAAGACCAGATTCGTCCATGTTAAACACCTGGTCGTCACTGTACTGTCCTTCCTCCATAATCTCACGTAAAAACGGAGGAAATTCCCGAGCCGCAGCACGATCAGCACTCGCTTCTTCACCACCAATGTTTATATTGGTGATCTTGTTCCGGATCTTAAACCTCTGTAACCACCCAGAGGAAGCAGTAAAGGGTTTGGGCTCTGAAGTTCCCATCTTTCGTGCCACTGCCATGTACAGTTCACGTGCGTAGTCCTTCACAGAGCGCGTGTCGACCGCCATGTTCCGTCGCGCCTGACGCACCAAGTACCTCACAAGTAATTTTTCTGTCTTGAGAAGCACCTGGTTGTGAAAATACTTGATCATAGAAGCACCTGTAGACTTTGTGATCTTCATGTGCTCCTTTATCTTGGCTGAATCCTTCTTTATAGTCCGGATCGTAGATTCGTTCACGCCATGCTGGCGCGCCAAATCAACCTGCCTTGTTCCTTTCTCCAACTCTTGGATGATGCTATACTTCACCTCGTAGCTTAAGGAACGTCGTGTCTTCTTTGGTTTAGTGCCGCTGGGTCCAGGTAAGGAAAGGTTTTTCTCTGGGGTGGTGGTCCGGCGGAAGCCATTTTACGGAACAATGGATGCGCGTTTACACGGAGTGGCCTGGAGGGATGAAACTGCCGCGGCTAGGTCAAGCGTCGTCTCTCCTCCCTCCCTCCCTCCCCCGGGTGGACACGTCATAATACTTTAAGCCAATTACAGCTAGCAGCAGAGGGGGGTAGGGATGCATGGCCAATCACAGGTCTGATACGTCATATGACGTCAGTGATAACGCAACAAAGACACACACTGCGCAACCTTACCGCGCCGCTTGCCCAAGCGGAGGGAGGAGGAGGGAGAGGCAGGCAGGCGGGCGGGTGGGTGGCGCGTGGGGCAAATCTAAAAATAGCGTCGCGCCGGACACTCTCCGCGTAATGGCGTTCACGACCGCGGAATGTGAGCACGTGAGGTTCTGGCAAGGCACCGCGTTAACGGTGAACCGCGGAATGCGGGACCGCGTAATGTGAGGGTTGACTGTACTTACATTAATGGATAGTATTTATGTTAATCCACATCTGCATCACATGTTTACTCAAGTGCTTGAGTTGGGTTTGGTGAAAGTTAGGTTACAGTAGGTTAGGGTTGGGTAGGCTGGGTAAGTTAGGTTGGAGTAGGTTACAGTAGGTAGGGTATTCGAAGTGAAAGTTAGATTGAAGTAAGTTAGGTTATATTAAGTTATGTTAGCTTATGTTACGATAGGTTATGTTTGGTTAGGTTATTAGGTCGTGTTAGGTTGCATTTGGTTATATTAGGTTACGTTTGGTTACGTGAAAGTTGGAAATAAAAACTTCAATAATCAAGAAATTTCTCTCTTTTATTCCATAAACATGTTGAAGAAAATATATCATGTGACCTGGGACACTTTTTTACTTTACCTAAGAAAGGTGATACAGACCTGTCCCTCGGGTGTTAGTAAGAGTGGATCAAATGCTTTAAAAAAACACACCATGACATGCTGATGCTATAATGTTATTACTTCGCTTCAACTTCTGTAATGCTGAGGACTTGAAGCGCATAAGAAGCTTAGTAATTACACTAGTCGTCAACACTCAAGAATCACAAGAGACAAAACTGTGTGTGTGTGTGTGTCGGTGAAAGAGATGCCGGTTAAGGCTCTTTCACCAGTCAACTTTTTCTTCATTATACAGTATTTAAGGTCATTCCTTAATAATATGGCATCACCTGTTGTAACTCAACAAGAAATTACATTAAAAAATATATAAAGTATAAGTTTTGTGAATAACCTAAGACAGACAGACAGACTCAAGATAAACCAACTACAGTAAAACCTCCATCTAACTAAGTATACAGAGATCAAAGTCTGTTATATCGAAGGTCATTAGACATTAAACCCCCATCTAATGGATTATACAGAGATAATAATGTTATATGGAGGCTTCACTGTAATTCATCTCTCACAAACAAACATCTCCCTTGACTAGTGTTTGACAAGTATGGCCTCAACTCTTGGCTCACTTTAAAATATGTCACACGTTACGACCACCTCAGGGACGAGAAAAAAAATATTTCTTATAATAAACATGTATGGTGCGGCAGGTATTAAAATATATGCGTTAGATAATAAAGTAGAGTCGTGAGGATGAATACTCTATCAGCACTGATGTGTGTTAGTGAGAGTTATTGTCAACCTTTGTCACATTTTCAAGTGATCACATCCAAGACTTTTGTTAAATTTGTACTAAAATATTGTACAAATATTTTATTTAGTTTTTAATATTTTCCAACTTAAATTATTGTTGTAAAATATGAAACTTGATTGATGGTGTTAAATTTTCAAGACAATAAATCTAACACTTTTATTAGTTTTGTACCACAATAATGTTCAAATATATCAATATTTTTCTATATTTTCAAACTTAAATTGTTGTTCTAAAAACATAACACTTGAGTGACAGCTTAACAGGCGTTGTAACCACGGCCACTGAGAAGACTTGACAGAGTGACCAACTAACTAGGACTGTAGTATACTGTATTAGTGAGTTAGTGACACAGGCAGCCTCAGTGGTCACCTTTGAACTAAAGACAGTGTCATGGGTTTCAATAATAAAACTATATAACTAAGCAACACTTTAAATAAAATATAACATTACAATTCCTGTATAAGTCTATTCAAAAGAACAATTATAAGATATAAGAATCATCTAATACATTGGTCTTTACATCATATCACCAAACAGTCTGATGAATCAAATAATTCACTGCAAATGAATAAATATTAATAATTATTATTTACACCCACAGCAACTAACAGTAGTAAAGCAAGTGCGTGTCTGGTAAAGAGATTAACAGCAACAAGTGATTAAGGTGACAGACATCTGGCGGCGGCCGTGTGAAGCATCGAGGATAAAACGGACATGCACTCGGGGGCTTATAGAGGAAAACTTATAGTACAAATATTAAAAACCTTCAAGTGGCCATGATCAAGATGGCTGGTAATGAACCAACCCACAGAAAACAAGACAAATATTTCAGGCCCTATAGAGACCCTGTGACCTGACACCATGATATTGAAGGAGGTTCATGATGAAGGACCAGGCCCTATAGAGACCCTGTGACCTGACACCGTGATATTGAAGGAGGTTCATGATGAAGGACCAGAGATTTGGAAAGGAGACTTGATTGGCACCATTGTATATAACAACCACACCAATAACTGTAGATGTCTGGAAACCTACACAAGTATACACAGTACCTCAGATATGTCTGTTTTTCTTGACAAGATGGGCAGGGCTTGACGACCATGTGGAGATTGCCCAATATATACGTCTGCCATCAATTCAGTCCTCCCCTAAAAATCTCATTGGCTTGAGGATGGTAAGCTGTTGTTAGGATGCATGAGGTGCCAAAGAAGTTAGTGAGCACAGCCTAAACCTCATGACCAAGAATGTCCCCACGTCTATGTCCAGCCTGATCTCCAGACTGCAGAGTATGATTTCCTCCACCAGGACACCATCCATCCCCCACTCCACCACCCCTACAAAGTTACCATATCCTGACCGCTGTAAGTGGCAAAAAATAAAATTAATCATTATCCACGACACCCCCAAACACTTCACCATTTTATGCCACAACTGCTATCAAACAGTTTCAATAGACATACTGAAACCTACCTGACTTACTCTTATCCCCCAAACTGATGATCTAATAATGACTAAATAAATAACTGCCTCACTTAAGCTATGGTACAACACTAGAGACCCTTATCAAAATGGATACAAAATGGCACCGAGCCTCCACCTCTTACTAGACCCTTCAACAGAGAAAAAAACCCACAGCACTAACCTTTTTCCCTTAGTCATTCTTCCTTCCTTCAGCCTTAAGTCTTGTATATAATGGCCTCAGACTCTTCAGTTAATGTGTCAATTTACTTTATCTTCTCTGTCTTTTCTTCACATCGCTGTCATAGTGTCTCTCCTCGGTCTGTATTTTGCTTCATTGTCATTTCTCTTCTCACTATCACTTGTGCACCATCATAACAGTGCTGTAGTACATGCCATCAGTATTAATATGATAGAGTACACATCTCAGGGAACAACATGAAGTACTTCTAAGTTTTTGTTAATCTTTGTGTATTATGGCCTCACTTGGCTACATGGCATTAACTGGAGTCATCACACTCAAAAGGGTCAATATGTCATAGTCTGACCTGGTAACAGGGCATCACCACTACAGGTCTTTAATATGAGGAACAACAGTTTTTGTAGATCCATGGAACCGTCTACCAGCTGGGGTGATGGTCGACCTATGGAAGTCTACAAGGTAAATGATGGTGGTAGACCAATGGGACAGTCTACCAACACAAGTCTTGGAAACAACAACAGTGCTAGGCTTCAAAACAGCCCTAAACAAGACTACAAAGAAAAACACACACACAGACACTCAAAACACATTTACCAGACGGGTGTGTGTGCATATATATGTATGTATATATGTGTGTGTGTGTGTATATATATATATATATATATATATATATATATATATATATATATATATATATATATATATATATATATATATATATATATATATATATATATATATATATATATATATATATACCTGTATACATACACACACATATATACATACATATATATGCACACACACCCATCTGGTAAATGCTCAACAGTCTCATGATCTCAAATTTTTCCCGAGATAATAATCATAATCACAGGAGGATCTATTTTATATAACTTGTATTCTATTATAAAAAATTACACCACTTAAAAATAGTTGCTCAAAACTTTACACATTTTTACATACATTAGATAGAAAATTATCAGCATACACCAAGAGCAAAATGGCAGTAAGCATCCATGTACAGTAAGGGTCAAAACTTGGCTCCCTCCCATACTGAAGCAGTATCAATCCAATGCAAGATAAAAAAGTCAGTTTGGAGATTCGTTTCGGAAATTTGGTTTCACCGCAGGAGCGAACTGTTGTCCGCGACTGTACATAAAGTGTTAAAATTGATCACAGGACGGTAATTCTTCCTTTTATCCCATTTTATTTTACACCAAATGTTATAAAAACTAGACTACTGCAGGTCATATCAGGGGCTCATCATAGCTGCTCAAATACTGTACAGTACTGTGGTGTGTCTATGGATGATGACCACCGTCCCTACAGCTAACACCCACTGGTGATGATCACCGTCCCTACAGCTAACACCCACTGGTGATGATCACCGTCCCTACAGCTAACAACCACTGGTGATGACCACCGTCCCTACAGCTAACTTCCACTGATGCTGATCTTATATTGTCTCGTGGATGGTTCAACCAGGAACACTGCTCACCTTGCTCATCCAAAATGTCTGTCAACCTCAGGTACTACTGCAAATGGCTTCGAGATGTTAGGCGAGTCCATTTTGGGATCAGTCTTCCCGGACACCCAGTCTCCTGATGCTTCAGCTATCAGCACTCCTTGGGTCTCAGAAGCATCCGGGTGCAGTCGTGAACTGCCAGTAGCGGCCACAGAGGGTGGCAGCCAGATAGATTACTGTGAGATCATAGCGTGTGTTCGAGGGGTCCTGGGGGTCTGGACCCCCCTATTCATCAGCATATTCCAATATTTTTTCTTTAAATCATTATTTATCAAGTATAAATCACATGGAACGTCGGATGGTGGAGTGACTTTCTACACCATATCTCCTGGGTGAAGTAACCAGTGTTAAGGTGACTCAACTCTACAGTCAGAAAATTAACAAGCGCATGTCCCTCAAGAGGTCATCATCATAATCAAGAGGTCATCACCATACTCACGAAGTCGTCATCATCATACTCAGGAGGTCGTCATCATCATACTCAAGAGGTCATCACCATACTCAAGAGGTAATCATTATACTCAAGAGGTCATCACCATACTCAAGAGGTAGTCATTATACTCAACAGGTCATCATCATACTCAAGGAATTAGATCCTCATACTGAAGGGGTTAAGTCATACTGTACTGAAGGGGCTCACTGGGCGACCTCACTGTACTCGGGTCAAGAAATCTTTGAGGTCAAACCATCACACAACACTTCACTGTGGCACAATATCATGTTAACCTCTGAGTAAAACAATAATTGAAGAATAACAGCATTAGATAATATAATCTATTGTCATAATAATAAAACCAAATACCATAACATCAAAGACATTTTTTGACTGACTCACACAACACTCATCACCACCAAGAATTTACAATATCTTTTAATTGTACTACATTTTGAGACCTTGCTGACCATACATCAGAAGGAATTGTACTAATTAACTTTTTCTGTACAGTACTTTCTAATAATAAGTACACACAATTAACATGATATTCATCCTATATACTGGGTAGTCATAATAAATATTTTGTTAATATGAGTAAGAAATACAAGACTTGTAGCAGATAGTTGTAACAGTGCCTGAGTTAAGTACACTGGGATGATGTACAGTACACCTGCATTGTCCCACCATCAAACTTATTACACAAGTGAATTTATATCAATACTGTTCAACTACAGTATTCTCTGCTCCTAAACTCAATATACAGCTCCTCCCCGACTTACGACGGGGTTAGGGACCCAAATCCAGGTCGTAAGTCGAAATGGTCTTAAGTCGGAAATGCTTAAATAATACATAAACCATCTAAAATGGGTGTCTCTTTTTCTTCTCAGCACCACAAAACTCTCACTTTTAAGCTTGCCAGACATTTTAAAGTGAATTACAGTGACCCCTCGTTTAACGAACGCCTCGGTTAACGAAATTTCGGTTAACGAACTGCCTTCCATAAGGATCTTCAATTCGGTTAACGAACAAAAATTCGGTTAACGAATTTCTTACGAACCGACCTCAACATGTTTTCGTTTGCACTGACCGGGCAACCAACTTTAGTATCAGTCCACCAATACATTAATCGGTTCTAGGGCTTAAATTCCTTACTATTTTAGTAAATATCAAGAAGTTTATACTATTCAATAATTTTAAAAGTTTAATATTCAATTTTTTAATCATTTTAACAATTATTGAACATAATTGAAGGTAAAGTGACTAGTTTAATGCGCGGCATCCAGCCTCTTAACACAGCAAACAGGCGTTAGTCTCTCTCTGTTTTCACTGGAGGTAACATCTTACTTGAGTCTCTCTTCAACTAAATGCTTTTTTTCTGTGTTTCCAAGCAAATTATTGGTCATTTTGAAATATATTTTATATATTGACAATATATAATGCAGTGCAGTGTTGATTTAAAGAAAATAATCTTGAATTACACCAAGAGAGCTAAAATTTTATGGATGAAATGGCGCCATGGGGTGACTTCTCTTCCACCCCAATGCCTTCTCTTCTTCCTTCTCCTCCACCCCCATTCTAAATCCCATCATCATCATCATCATCATCCAGGAGCCTTCTACATACACACCTAAAAGAAAGTGAACTTTTCTACCATTTTTGTTGAATTTAGGAAATTTTCGGTGAGCTGGAACCAATTACCCAAAAACCCATTGAAACAATGGTTTCGGTTAACGAACTTTTCGGTTAACGAACGACCTTCTGGAACGGATTGAGTTCGTTAACCGAGGGGTCACTGTACAAATAAAAATTTTGTCTGTGTACCGACTTTGGGACTCGAAAATACGTAATTTTACCAAATTTTGGTACGACTGAGGCAGGTCGTAGTCGAGTAGGTTGTAAGTCGGGGAGGAGCTGTATAACTCACTTTCTGTTACTCCTGGGAATAACATAATACCAATATCATCCTTTTTTATATTCTGGGTTTAAGTTAGATTAAAACAACGGACTATCCACTCTTAAAAACGACATTAATTAAAAAACAAAAGAGAGAGCGATCTTGGCAGAAGGGACCATAACTGGCTCAAATGTTTTTTTAGTATGCTAGATAACATGACAGGAATAGCAGGCTAAGGGTGTCATGTTGTCAGGAAACAACAGCTGATCATCACGTAACTGCTGTAGTTCTTGCCGGGCTGCTTGTTGCTAGTTCTTGCCAGGCTTGTTAGTAATTCTTCCCGGGCGGCTTGTCAAACTTGACTGCCAATCTGTTACGGGTCTGACGCTTTGGTTTATTAGACGCTCCCTCTGGCCTACTATTGTGCTGGTACTGATGCTGAGATGGCTGGGACTGCTGATGTTGTTGTTGCTGCTGCTGAGAATAATGATAATTTGTACTCGACTCTTGCCTCCCACTGTAATTAGCAAAGTGATCGGCTTTAGGTTTACGTGGCGTCTGATTACGGATTACTTGCGTTGGCACAAAGGCAGATTTTGAAGGAGATCCTGCCTTTTGATACCTTTCAGGCGGCTGAGTTACAGAGTGGGACGTTTCAGCAGCACCTAACAAGGCCGTGCCTATAACGACGGGTTCGCTCTGTTCACATTTTAGCATAGCCTGCGACTGTGGACCGACATGCAACTGATTTTGGCCGAGTGCGCCCTTGAAGATGTCCTGAACGGACACTTCCATCCGACTTGAGGCTAAATCCTGACTTGACTGTGGAGGTAAAGTTGGTCCCTTAACTTGCTGTGGGGAAGCAGGATGAACATCACCAGAAATATTGAGAAGCTGTGACAGCATCTGACTTTGCATTGGCCGCAGGTCAACACTATCTGGGTTTACAGCTTGTGCTTTTGACCAGATGCTTTCGAAGATTTGTAATTTTTGGGGTTCTTGTGAGGAAGTTGTCACAACATTCCCACGTCCATCTAACACCAGCTGCGGCCGCTGCCCCTGACCCTGCTGCAGCTGTGGCTGCTGCTGCTGGTTACCCGGAGATCTACTGGGAAGAGCTTCGGGGCCCACTGCTGGTTGAGAAGGAAAGATCACCTCGCCTGAAATACAGTCCACAACCTTACTAAAATAACTCCTGTTGATTATCCCTTGACTGTCACCTGTGCAGAGTATCTGCTTCCCTTTATCTCTGAAGAATGTCATTCCATCTGACATTGCTTTCCTCACATCAAGAAAAACATAGAGCTGAAATACCAATTGTGAGTTGATATCCCAAGGAACATACGAGTAGCAGGGTATGAGACCTCGACCTGCTACAAGTCCCTGCTTGTAGATCTGACTCCAGGCTGCATAGTATGTCCCGTGGATCACCACATTCACCTCATCAGGAGAATTTATCGCCACCAATTTGCCCTGAAAGTACAGTCAAAAATATTCTTTAGTTAATAATATTATTTCTTATGTTTGCTATGAGAACAAAATGGAACAATAAAAAGATAAATGACTGAAAAGAATGTACATTGTTAGCAGGCTGGATGATGTCATTTACCAGTTAATAGTCGGATGATATCAGTTAATAGAGTGGATGATGTTCATAGACTGGATAGACTGTGATGACAGTAGGTAATTAACGCAATTTACCACCTTCATGTCCACTCTAACACGACTCAGAAAATATCTCTGAAATAACACACAAATATGAAAGATCAATGTAAATTTTTTATGCTTTCTTGACCTCTGTATTTTGGTGATGACAACTTACACAATGGTTTGAGTCTAAGGCAGAAATGATCATAAAACAGACTGCTGCACCATATTATGACCAAGACAGGATATTTCAGATGTGAGTCAGGATACTAGTGTTTATTGAGACAGGTTAGGTTACGTTATTTGGTAATACAGTGAATGATATCAGTGGTAGAGCAGTTATGGACTTGCCTCTCACTACTGTGTCATGGGTTTGATCCCTGGCCCAGGTCACCCGTGAGTAAGGTGTTATTCAGCGTTAACATATTTGGCAAGTCTTCTTCAGGCTGTACCAACACAGGACAATAAAGAACAGACGTCCTCAAACTGAATTAACAGGACCTTCAACTTATACTACACTATCAAGGTATTACGACAAAGAGTGTACAGTATAACATAATGGGTAAAGTTGGCCAAAAGTCTATCTATTCACTTCTACTGTTTACAAAAATAGTTACAAATCCCTAATGTAACTTTAAACCTAATTACCTCAGCAACATTTAAAAATCGTTGTGGTAAACTGAGGGAACTTGGCAATATACACTTCTACATCCTAGACCACCGAAGGGTCAAGAAGTAAATGGCGCTCCTCTGGGGGCAGCCAGGTCAACTGTTATGTTGGCCCATACCGACTCCCTCCCCTGAACCCCACCCCACCGGAATATCAACAAGTTCTCGCCAGAAGTTACTACAGAGTATTTCATTTAGGAAAGGAATGGAACCAGTATTGAATAGTGGTGAACAGTGCTTAAGTCAGTGAAAAAACAACTCAACAGTAACAGCCGAGTGGTACCCAAACTAACCTTCACACAGTGAGGTCCCAGGTACCCAGTGATAACTGCCCCCGAGACTCAACAACACCAGCTAAGTGTTTATCCGTCCACGATAGGGAGGCCTGGGACAACACCTCATTGAGGTCCTGTGACACCAGACCACATGGTGTCCCCATGATGCTACGACTCCACGTAGTGAATGAGTTGCTACAGCATCATGTGAGGTTCCTCATAACACCATCTGTGAGGGAATTACTACACCACGTGATGCCCCTCATAACACCATCTGCGAGGGAATTACATCACGTGATGCCCCTCATAACACCATCTGCGAGGGAGTTACTACACCACGTGATGCCCCTCATAACACCATCTGCGAGGGAGTTACTACACAACGTGATGCCCCTCATAACACCATCTGCGACTACACCCGGTGATGCCCCTCATAACACCATCTGCGCGTGATGCGTTACTACATGATGCCCCTCATAACACCATCTGTGAGGGAGTTACTACACCACGTGATGCCCTCATAACACCATCTGTGAAGGAGTTACTACACCACGTCCCCCTCATAACACCATCTGTTACTACACCACGTGATGCCCTCATAACACCATCTGCGAGGGAGTTACTACACCACGTGATGCCCCTCATAACACCATCTGTGAGGGAGTTACTACACCACGTGATGCCCCTCATAACACCATCTGTGAGGGAGTTACTACACCACGTGATGCCCCTCATAACACCATCTGTGAGGGAGTTACTACACCACGTCACACCACGCCCCCTCATAACACCACCTGTGAGGGAGTTACTACACTATGTGCCTGCTGTTCAACACCTCAGCTCACATGATCTACGTGTGTAAACATTAATCTGTATGTTCACTGTATGTTCCTTCACCTTTCTCTAATGAAGACTTTTGATAAACCACCAATGTATGTAATAAGTCATTTATGTCCAATGTATATTTTCAGCCTTCGGGCTGCAGAATTTTTTCAATAAACCGTTAATTATTATTATTATTATAATTATTCTTGAGGCGGACAGAACAGTACATGAGACAACTGTATATCAACTAATACTGATCTCTTAGTTATATCATCCAGAGTTTATGGTTGCGTCGTCGGCCCCACGGTTTCTATTCACTCACAGAGTTTACGATACATTTTGAAACCGTGTACAGTTGTGGACAAAATTCCCTGAACACTTGGCATCTACTTGTGGGTTATATAGGATTAGTTTACGTCTAATAATGTTGCTTGCATCACATATGTTGGAACGACAAAAAAATACAATAAAATTATACAAAGAAAAATATGAAAAAACACACACACAGACACATCCCCACACACACACAGACACATCCCCCCCCACAAACACACAGGCACATCCCATCCCCCCCCACACACACACACATCCCATCACATCCCATCCCCCCCCACACACACACATACACATCTCCCCCATACACATCTCCCACATACACACACATCCCCCACACCCCCCTCCCCCCTACCTCATTTTGCCAGCGAGGATGAACCTTTCTCTTGCCAACATCGCCATTAGTGTCTCCTTGGCGATGTTTGTGGTTGACGCGGAGACCCGAGGGACTAGGCAGCTGTTGTGGGTCTGGAGGTTGTGGACTGGTGGGGTTGTTAGTCTTATTTGGTTGTTGAGTGTGCGAGGTGTGAGGTTGTGCCCGTGCCTAAAAGATAAAAAAATATAAAAAAGCACAATTGGCAACAGTAAAGGCTGGGAAAGACAGTCTGTAACTCATAGGGTTTTAATGACGACAACAACAAAGTATCGTAACTCTTTATCTGTATTGTCTAGGGACAGTACATTGCTTGTATGGTCTATGTTTGTTGTAGTGTCTGTACTGTATTACCAGCATTGTCTATTGCATCGTGTACGTAACATACAGAATGAGAGTAAATTTGTATGACAATGTTAACCCTTAGGCCCCGGGTGGCGTTCCAGAACATCCGCCTATTTCCGCCATTTTTTGTGGGGAAAAATTGATTTTTTTTCGATTTATTCCCTCGCACGGGGGGATGGGGGGGAGGGGGGGAGTTACTGCCAGCAGCACCCTAACCCGAGGCTTAGGGGTTAATGAATATCTACCTACCATTGTGTTCATCCATATATTTCTACATTACAGTAGGGTCGGGATATATCGCGAGATAGGGTCCAACTAAATCGCTACATATAATTACATGTAATCAATGAGGAAAATAGGGTTAGGTTCTGGAGGCCCAAAAAAGTGACTAAACTTGACTTAACGAGTTTATTCTCTTACTAACTAAAGCACCAATGAACACTAGACTCAGGAACACCAGACTCAGGAACACTAGACTCAGGAACACCAGACTCAGGAGCACTAGACTCTGCAGCTGACGCACCATCCTGGGAACACCAGACACCACACTGCCACCCTCACTTGACAATCCCACACCTACATACACCAAAAACATTAGTTACAGTATTACATCTTTTCCATTATCTTCACTTCACTTTTCACGTCACTAGCAACCCATTTACACTCCCCTTAGAAGTCGTAATCTGCAGCAGTCAGCTGCTTTCTCGTCACTCACTCAGAAAGACCGAGCGTGTATGCGTGAGTGAGCAGCCACGGTGGCGCCTCTGGTGAGCAAATAACACATTTGTTTGCCATGGCGGTACATTTAAAATATTTCCTGCCCGATTTCCCTCGCGAAATAAACAAATTTATCACTATACTGTACATAGAAAATTTTTGGCAGCCGCGATATAAAAAACTTGTTATAAAAAGTCAGGATATGTCCCGACCTACTGTACAAAAACGGTTATAAATCATTAATGCAAAGTTAAACAATACATAATTGTTGTAAAAAAAATTCAAAATTGTCATATTAAATTTACCTGTAGCTACAGCACCTCTCTCACCAAGAAGCTCTGCCCTAATGTACTACTGTATAGTCAAGAGAGGCCACCACTGTACACAGGTGGAGGAGCGCCCACAGCCCTGGAAGCAGTAAATACCCCAAACATTGATGTTTTTTTGGAATATTGAAGTTTAAATAAATAAAAAAAAAGTTTGAAAAGCAGGTAAAATTTGTGGTGTGTATTGTGGTACAGTGAATCAGAGGCTGGTCTCTCAGAGGTCATCCAGTACAATATACGTCAACACAGGACAAGTAATGTAGTGGCCACCGGATCCTATGGTCCAAAATTCATAAGATCTCAAAATCCAGTTCAATCTCGGTCCCATAACATTGCCATATTGTGGGCAGTGAACCTGTACTTGGGATCACAAGAAGATTGCAAACCCCAGCTTATTTCACCTGATGATTAAAACACCCTAACACTAACTTAATCCCCCTCCAGATAACATTAGGGTGTTTAATTACCAGATTCATTAAGCTTGGTGGTAGAGAATCATCAATGACAAAAAAAAAAAAAGTGTGAAACAAGACAGTACAGTACAGGTTGAACCTCGTTAATCTGGGAAGCTTGGGACCACACCGGTTCCGGATTAGTGAAAATTCCGAACCATCGTAGCCGAGGTTAAAAAAGGCAAAATAATACATAAACTGTACTATTACTGTCTAATTTCTTCAGTATAAACACTTTTTCAAAAATAGTTAATGTCACACGCTTACATTTCGCCACATTACAACCACTTCCACTGCTTGCTGGTCTCTTAGGAGGCATATTTATTGGTAAATTATAGGTACAGTATTTAAAGGTAAAACAGTGACAACAGCCACTAGAAGTGAGCTATGACACCATCCCGAACCATCGAAGCTGCTGGACTATCGGGTCCCAGATTAGCAGAGGGTCCTACCTGTAGCAGGGTCCTACCTGTATATACAACCTTTTCCACAGGGTAATGACAACTTACCTGGGGAGTACGTCCTTGATAAGGTGCTTTGGTTCTGTTATTTTGCCTGAGATGTTCTGTAACATTTCCTTCCTGAGTCCTAGACTGCTGCCATCTCTGTCAACAGTAGTTTATGGTTTAATAATAACAATTGCCCACATTTCTACTAAATATAAGTATGTATGGATTTTCTAATCCTTTTAAATTGGTGTAAATTTTTTTTTATTTTCTTTGTACAGTAAGTATGTGAGGATATTTCTACTCATACTCACCACAGGTCCTGGATACTGGAGGTTGTTTCTATGGTTCTGAGAGTCATTGTTGTACTGCTGCTTGTTCCAGGCATCGTGTTGGGGCACTCGAGACTACAGGTAATGGTGAGAAAATAAAACAATACACGGTCTTCATAAATTACCTCACCTATTTTTAATATTAATAAACTCAAAAACTTTATAGATAAGTAGAATAAGACAGCATACAAGGTGTCCATCTCACCCTTTTAAAAATATTATACTGGAGACAGAACACAGTGGGTCTTAGTTTATTTGTTGTCTTTAACACTTTAGGTTATACTGTATTAGGTTCTACAGTGGGTCACTTAAACAAACGGTTCAGGTAATATCATCACGTGTGTTCCAAGAAAATTTATGAAGAGAAAAAATAATACTTTCATATTATAAAGTTGATTTAAACTTTGAGAGAAAATTTAGTGTAAATGAGATATATAAAGAAGCTACTGATCCTGAGCTGCTAAAAGACTCACTGTTCCTTACCTGTTGCATTGATGGACCAGAAGCAGATTTTGAGCGATTGCCGTGGGTGATGTTAACGAGGGCCGCCCAGTGTAGCCGGTAGCAGCGGTGAGCCGAGGAAGGGCCACGCAGAGTCAGCCCGCCGGCAAAAGCTTCGTCGAAGAGAATATCGTACATGATGTCTGCTTCTTTCTCTGCGTACTGGATCCCTAGAAAATCGTTCTCATGGGGTTAAATCATCATCCTCAAGGGGTTAAGCTATAATCAAATGGCTAAGATATCATCCTCAAGGGGTTAAGATATCATCCTCAAGGGGTTAAGTCACCATCCTCAAGGGGTTAAGTTATCATACTCAAATGGTTCAGTCATCTTCCTCAAGGGATTAAGGATTCAAGAAGTCAGCACTGACCTATAACTGTTCCTCTGGCTCCTAGAGGGACGGAAAAACCTTCCCGAACATTGATCACCCGGTCAAACATCTTGAAGGAGACGGTGTGGTCTGGTGGGGTGCTGCCCTGGAGGGGGTTTGGCTGTGGAGGGATAAATATACAGCAACTTATGTTATACGCCACCTTATACATCTACTGTATCCAATTATTCTATTATACAGTAACATATCCAGCTATCTATTTAGTTCTTCTATTATACACTACTTTATCTATCTGTTATAGTACACATAAAAGTACTGTACCTTAAAAAGTAGATGTGGCCGCACTTGCATCTTAACAACTTTTGCTCTTATCATGGACACTTTGTCCAGTTCTTCGATGAGCCGCGACACGATCGCCTCGTCGAGTGTCTGCGTCCCACATGGCTGACGCTCTGCCTTGGCAAAGTCTGAATTCTTTAACCAGTCAGTGAGTTCAGCTACTCGCTCTTTGCTGGTGTGAGACAAATGACGGGAGGGGGACATACACGGTTATTGTAATACTGATGTTAATTTACACAGAAGTTACATTTAGGGAAGACAGAAGAGGTCTGTAGTTTCTAAGTTAACTAAACGCTATAATGACGTTAATTTAAACTAAGTGCTACATTTAGGAAAGACGGTAGAGGTAATATATTAAGTTAGAGAAACATTAGTAAACAACAACACAAGACAACAATAGTAATTTAAACTAAATGCTACATTTAGGGAGGACAGAAGGGGTATATACAGTACTGTAGAGTGAGTCTTACAGTAAGAAATACCTTGGAAAAAAGTGAATAGAGAAAAAATATATAAGAAATAGAAAACTAAAAAAAAATAAGATAAAACAAGACGACCATAGAGTACAGGACAGGGTAGACAACACCTCAACTGTACTTACTACTTCTCGGTACCAAACACCTCGTCCTGGTAGAAAATGTCCTTCTGGCCAGCGTGTGCAGTCAAGTGGTCAAATATCTCGGGGAACTTTTTCTGGTACTCCCCGAGGGCGTCTATGGCCTTCTCTGAATAAAGCCACGTGGGCCTGTCATTGGCACCATCCTGGGTCCTGCGGCTGTAACCACACACCTGTCAAAGTGATGAATTACAAACCTACGACAACACACCTGTTACAAAGACAACATACCCGTCAAACAGGTGCATATTATACGAGGACAAACACCTGTGTGACATTACTCATGATACACAACATGAGACTACAATAAATTAAGACAGTTGAATATAAGAAGGTGAGGAACATAATGGCACACACGGGTATAATACGCGTTAACGACCCTCAAACGTAAAAAAACAAATTACTCGAGGATTGCCGAGATAAATTACCAGGTGTAAATCTTAAAAGGGTCACCTGGGAACAACATGGCATCACATAACACAACATTAAGAGATACACATCACAATTTACCTCTTCATTCCTCTTGTTACTCTTCAGGTTGAGGCCAATATTAAGTTTGTTCTTCATCTCCATCTCAGCCATGAGGTTACCACCCGAAGGAGGAACCAAGAACACCGTCCCCGTGAGCCGTGCCAGGATGTGTGACGACATACCTATCCTCTGGGACGCAAAGTAACCTGAAAAAAATAGTTCTCGTCAACAGCTGTTCGTGTATGCAAGACACTTTATGTCCTTCATCACTTGTAACTTCAACATACCGGTACAGTACAGTACTGTATATTTTTAACTCAAAAGTTTTAACGTTGAGAAGACGGTAATTTTCAGTAACTTATCTAAGGTACATAATACAATACAGCTAGACCCCGACTTACGACTGCTTCGACTTACGACCGTCGGGACTTACGATCGCCGCAGTTGTGACCATTTTTTTTTCAAAATGACACACGCATTTTCTATACCGAAACGTTTCCAATTAATGTAGTATCCATGTATAATTAGAAAATTATGGGGGCCCCATGTGCATTCAGCTGACTACATTAAAGGTAAGTGCTCAGTCACACTGTATCCATTCCTCATTATTTATTACTTTCACTGTACTGTATACATTCCTCATTATTTATTACTTTTACTGTACTGTATTTCATTGTAGATTTTTTTTTATCTATGTCGGACTTACGATCATTCGGACTTGCGACCTGGATTTGGGTCCCTAACCCCGTCGTAAGTCGGGGTCTAGCTGTACATGCCATTTACTGTACTACTGTATGATGGGTAAAACTCTGGTAACTCACAGAAATACAGTATTTTGTTCCTATGCTTACCACAGTGTTGGGAAGACACTGTACAGTCTCACCTGTCATGTATCGGTCCACCAGTTGACCTTGTCTCTGCTTCACTACTTCAAAGTTAGGATCTGAGGCTACTGTCATGGCCACCCGTATCCTGCCCTTGTGGCTGGGGTCAATTTCAATTACCTGAAAGATAAACAAGCTTTGAAATCAGTTGGCAATTCTAAGTCCCACCTTTTACTTATCACCATAAAAGTCTAAGGGATTCACTCGGATGCAACTGTAGCCTGCGGGGACCCTCAACTCCCATCCAGAAACGTTTATAGAGAGACATATGGCACCAATTGCTGAACACGTGACACATCAACACATTTGAGGTGGGAAGAGCAGATAGCCTACAGTACCTCCACTTGTGACCCCACAAGGTGAGCTTCAACACTCACTTTGGTATATACATTAAGAAATATACTGTATCACCTTCATAAATAACTTGACGTTGACTTTCCAAAAATATAAGAAGAGCGTACGGGTGTGTTAGTCCCCACCAGGACCTCCTAACTCTCAGCTGCATAGATCAGTAGTATGATATTGATACTGGATGACTTTATTCTAGGATTCCACCAACCTGAAACTATACTCTACTCTACAGTACATGACCACTCCAGGACATGGGTTGTCTTTGACCTTAGGATTACTCTGTTGTCTCTCTTATCAAACTGGTAAATCTAAAATAAGGATTCTTCTCTCTCATACAGTTTGGGCAATGAAGGCATAGACAACACGTAGAGGCAGTCTCTGAGTTATGAACGGGTTATGTTCCTGGACCCTGTTTATAAGTTGATCTGTTCATAAGTCATAACAGTGTTAATACCATAGGTTAGGTTAGGTTAAAACACAAACTTTCCAATACAAAACAACAATAATATCCCATACTGTACATAAAAATTATGTAAATAAAGAGATGTTAAACAATATAGGGTCATGTAAAAAACTAAATTTTAGTTACAGATTTTTGTGATGAATATACTGGGATCCCATTCTTAAGTTCAGATGTTTGTAACTCAGGCATTCATAACTCGGGGACTACCGGTATAGGCTAAATATTTTTTTCATTTATTGTATAACTACTAAGTTTTCCATATCCTGAACTCTGAATTTCAGCAATATAATTTACTGCAGCAGTCTAGTGTCGCATGAACTACATTTTAGCCTATATAAATGATGCCTAAACCTGCCAACACACTTCAATAACCTTTATTTTTCCAGCAATGTGAAAGTTGAGTAATGATGGTAAGTTTAGGTCATAGTTGTTAAGTTTTGTATTGGCCAAAAAAAATACAGCCATGTGTGACCATCCTACATAACCACTACATACAGTTTTATATGTCCAAAAAATGTTGTCCACAAAATAAAAATATAGTACAGGTATAGTGATGACTGTAGACCAGGAACTTCTCAAACCTCTTTTGTTAAACAAATAAAATAATAAATTATTCTCCCCAAGTAACAAGTGTATATTTATTTCAGATATGGCATCACACTAAAGATCCCCCCCCCAATGAATAATAATGGAACACAAAGAACACATAACTCTCACTGGTGTGTGTGTGTTAGTCCTTGACACTGTGTAAGTTAACACGATGAAGAGTCTTATCAGCCAACTCACAACAAACAATCTACTCCACTTCCCATCCTCTGACTGATATCTTTCCAGAAACATGTTATCACCTATCCTGTGAAGGCATCCTGTCGCTTACTCCCTCACCTCTCCCATACATCCATAGTAAGGGTGTCCAAGCATGAAGACCTTGGTGCGGGGAGGGAAGTACTCCTCGGGGGCCAGATGTTGCTTGTAGCCCGGGTCGTGTACGGCGATGTCCTTCACGATCGTCTGGTAAGCGTATGGCTGAACATTCCTCGACCATTCCTTCTCCAGTGACATTCTCCCACTTGGTGATGGAGCATATCTGGAGAACAAATTTAAAATAATTTTCTGGAGAAATAAAACCATAAATGGCAACTTAACTTTACATATAAACAAGAGAAATGAGACAAGTGGTGGTGGTTGTGGTTTAGCTAATGAATATATTTTGGAAATTACAGAACTGTATGATTTTAAAAAAAAAGTTGGTTGAAACTCTACATATAAAAAGTAATGTTTTGTCTTTCTTATGAATGTTTATGGTTTATAAGGCTGTTGCCATAAAGAGAGAGAGGGAACAACAGTGTGTGTGTGTGTGTGTGTGTGTGTGTGTGTGTGTGTGTGTGTGTGTGTGTGTGTGTGTGTGTGTGTGTGTGTGTGTGCTTTCAGTTTAGGCCACCAGGGAACACAGTGAGTAAAGGTTATAAAAGACAAATGACAGAAACAATAATAATAAAAGCTTGACTTACTTCCTGCCGGTCAAGGGTGCAGCGTACACCAGGATGGATGTGTTGCCAATCTCAACACCCCAACGGTCGTGGTAGTGAGAGGTAAGGGAGTTCTTGTTGAGGGAATATTCTTCCCTTAGGTGACCCTCCATCATGGTCTTCTGCACCTCACCTCTGACCAGTGAGTAATATTCACTCTTGTCACACATGGCTTCCACCTGTAACATAACAATAGTCAAACTCAATATTTTTCTTTCTTATTCAGTGGTTAAGATTTCTCTCCTTACACCCCCCCCCCACCCTCCACATGGGCAGAAAATGGAATGTGAGGAACATGAAACTCCCACTAATGCTGGCTGCCGTCCCTACAACTAATTTCCACTGATGTCAGTTGCTATTTAAAAGATAAGAAGCCAAATGCCAAGCCAACTGTAAAGTTGTATGACAATTTGACTGAATATCTACCTATCTACATCATACACAGCACACACAGGTAAAAAAAATAATGGCATGTAGTAAACACCATTATTTTAACTCCAATGTATACACTGTAGTATACATTATTTATACCGAGACTGTTGTATGAGATGAATCAGTTAATTTATCACCCAGCCTGTACCATCATGCCAGTCATTTTCTTCACCCGCTCCTCGACAATCATGGTACCGGGCATCAACTCTCACCTTGGCCTCCATCAGGTGTGGCCATGACACAAACACGACCTTCCCCAACAGCTGATTAGCCAGGTCCTTGAGGTCAGGCACGTGCTTTGACTCCGTCACGTCCAGTATGAAGTTCTCCCCCCGACTGTTTTGCTGGAACACCTTCACTCCGTCCTTGGCGATGTGGAACTGTAGGAGAGAAGGAAGTGAGGGAAGGAATGATGTTTGTTGCTAGTATGGGCTGTGAGGTCCTATTGAGGTGTGAGGTCCGATAGAGGTGTGGGGTCCTATAGAGCTTAGGTCAGGTTAGGTTAGGTCAGATCAGGTTAGGTCAGATCAGGTTAAATTACTTCCCTTTATCTTTAATGTCTGTGTAGCCCCTTAATTCATCCCAAACTAAAGTAGAAACACAACAGAAAGATTCATAGAAATTTCTGCAACACCCAGACACAAGACCTACCTTATGATCAATATGTTTCAGTGAAGGAAACCCGGCAAAGTAGACATCCTGCTTCACGTCTCGGCACAAACCCTTGTATATCTTCTCTGGCAACATCTCCCAATCCTCTCGCTTCACACACTCCAGCTTGGCGTGGTTAATGGACACAGACAGGAAGAATCCGGGACTCTGTAAACAACACACACCTGGTTAATTAATTTCTAGGTTGATGACGAACAGTTTCTTTCCACTCACTGAGGCTAATAAGGGTTAACTCACATGAATATAATTGTATATAAACTCAACCTTCATTTAGTGATAGTCATTTATTTATTCTTATCATTGAGAGAGTTACATTAGTTCCCGCTGTGGTAATGTACGCTATCACCACCATCCTATTATCACCATTACCCTTCCCTTGCATCATCTCCACCATCATCACTTCTTGTACTACCTTCACCACATCCTACCATAGCCTCTCATCCTTCACCACATCCTACCATAGCCTCTCTCTCTCTCTCTCATCCTTCACCACCTCCTACCATAGCCTCTCTCTCTCTCTCATCCTTCACCACCTCCTACCATAGCCTCTCTCTCTCTCATCCTTCACCACATCCTACCATAGCCTCTCTCTCTCTCATCCTTCACCACATCCTACCATAGCCTCTCTCTCATCCTTCACCACATCCTACCGCCTCTCTCTCTCTCATCCTTCACCACATCCTACCGTAGCCTCTCTCTCTCTCTCTCATCCTTCACCACATCCTACCGTAGCCTCTCTCTCTCTCTCTCTCTCTCAACACCCACCTTACACTCTCCCAAGTTGTCGCTGGTGTAGGTGTAGATGTACATTGGGCCGTGGATGTTCCGTGACTTCTCCTCCTCAGTGAGATCCTCATTACAAGGATTCATGGCTTCCAGCAGTAACTTCTCATCAATAAAGGGAATCAGCACTACAGCCTCCCAGTCCTGCAAAAAATAAATAAATATGAAAATAAATAGTTAAATTATCATATGAACAAAATCTGGGAATGTTTTATTGTACAGGGGGCCTCAATTAGCGGATTTTTATTTTGAGGTCCTCTATTTTTTGCAGATGACACTGGATGTACCCAAGAACGTCTGTGGGTAGTTTTAAAGTTGCAAGCATTTTCTGGAGACAGTAATTTGCTTTACTTGTATTGTATATGTGTGTAGACACACACACATACATATTTACAATACAGGTAAAAGAAATAATTGTCCTAAGGGCAAACACATAAAGGGAATATACATTTCTTTGTACACAAGTAATAATGTACCTCCACCCCCCCTGTCAGCAAATTTGCTGATTTGGCGATTCGCGGCCATTTTGAGAACCTAGCCCCCGCGAATTTGGGGGCCCCTGTACTTATATCATATTGTAGTCCTGAAACATTGAAGAAATTTGTTGCCAAGAGCTAAATAAGAGTTTGTGTAATAACCCAACTTTTACCAATTAATTCAACCATAAATCTTATAAAATTGAAGAATTTTATTAAATTGAACTAATGTGTACTGTACTTGTCCGAGTTAAACCTTTAACCAGCAGCTAAGGAATTCCTCCCCCGCCCCACCTATATGAACAAATATCATGTGCAAGGAACAAGAAACTTGTACTGATGATGACCACTGTCTCTATAGTTAACTTCCACTCATGGTTATCATTATATTAAACTAAATTATACTACTGTAGTTAGAATTTCATTAACGTCACATCAACCATCAACAAGAGAAAACTACAAACCTGTTGTTTTCCGTTGAGGTCCGTCTTAAAGGAGTCCGGGTAGAACTCCTTGAGGGGCGAGTTTTCCTTCAACATGAGTCCTTGATAGGCCCGAGGCAGATGGTTCTTGCTGAGGGGCGGCAACACGGCCAGGAGCTGTTGGTATGGCAGGAAGGGCTTCCCCATCTCGAAGTTCATCTCCATGTTGGCGAAGTTTTTGATGTCGGAGATGTAGGGAGAGTAGTGGTAGGGGTAGTACCAGGACCAGGAGCAGATGCCATTATAGTAGTAGTTGAGGATCCACTGTATACCTCTGACGTAGCTCGTTGCCTGTTCGTGCAGAACTTCGGAGTTGACGTGCATGAAGTGCATCTTGGTCATGTAGTACTCCCTCTTGTGTTGACGGAACTCTGCATTAAATATGCTCTCCTCGCTCTCGCTGGATTCTTCCTCGTCGCAGTCGAGGAACGTGGGGTCGGGGTTGTAGCCGAGCTTCTCGTAGGTCTTACATAGGTCCTCTACGTCGTCGTCGTCGTCTTCCGGTGCTTCCAGCGCACCAAAAGCTCCGCCCTCCTCGAACCCGTCGTCCTCGTCAAAGTTAAAAGTTTCTAATTCTATCTCTCTGTTACCGTTACTCTTGTTAACTTTGAAGGCATTTCCATCTTTCAGTTTCTTACTTTGGAAATATTTTAAATCTGCATTCTGTTCATGAAACTGTTCAACGTCAAACTCTGAAAGTTTTGCCATAAATTTTTCAAATCTGCCAAGGTGTAATTTGCCCCCGTCATTTAAGTAACCGTCTAATTCTGGCATCACGTCTTTGTACGTCCTGTAGAGAATCGGTAACGCTTCTTTGTTTATGTGCAGGTGCGGCAGGTGGGGGATGAAGTCGTTACCCACGAGGAACCCCATCAACACCCAGTCATCGATGATGTTCTCCAGGTCATACCCAAAGGACAGAGACTTGTGTAGCTCCCAGAACTCATAGTTGACATATTCTCGCATTAAGCTCAGGTGGAGAAGGTGAAAGGTGGTCTCTTCTGCCGTGGGTGTGCGGCGGTTACTGTCCTTCTTGCCTCCAAAACGAACCTGAAATAGTTAATAACTTTATGTGATCTATCAGGCACTCCACCTGACAATAAAACACCAAACCTGAAATAGTTCTTATACATCACAAGTTTAATGAATCTCTAGACTTTATTTTCTTATGTATTGTAATGAACTGATGGATCTCATAAGCTTAGGAGCCCCAGATAATTTCACCGGATGATTAAATACCCTCCTGCTAACCTAACCTAACCCACTTACAGTCACCCACCAACAGCCCCATCCCTCCCCCCACACCAGGAAGCAGCTAGAGCACTACTCACCTCTTCTCTGAGTAAAGAGAAGTGAGGTTCATGAGAGGTGAGGCCCAGCATGATGAGGTCAGCATCAAGACCATAGAGACAGTGGCGGGTGTTGGGGTTGTAGTGTGGCTGACTCTTGGTGAACCTTATGTACTCCATAATCTTGTGTTCTCCTTCACCGGGTGTCTGCAACAACAACAACATCATCATCATCACCACCATCATCATTATCACTATTATTATAATTGTCATAATCCTCACTATCATCAACATCATCATTTTAATGTATATCATCTTAATATTAATAATGTCTGGACAAAAAACAAAGCATCTATCAACTTAACATATTTGACTACATGAGGGAGGGGGAAGAAGAGAAGGTGGGTGGGGAAGAGGTAGGGATTCTTTAGTTGCCAGGTTAATGGTTAAGATAAAATAGTCAATAATAAAAATACAGTATGATGTTCCCCCATACCTGGTGACCAGAATAGATGACCTTACAGTTCTGCCATAATCTGTCCTGTGATATCTTGCTGGTGATGAAGTACTGCAGTTGGGCGTCCAGTCTTGCCATGAACGCCGTGCCCGGGGTGATGCAGTTGGAGTCGAAGCGTTCCTCTGAGGGAAGCACTTCACCCATCGCCTTGGCCTTCTTCTCTGCCTCTATTGCTTCGTTGGCAGAGCGGAATCTGATGGGTACAAGGTCAGGGGTACAAGGTCGTCCATAAAATATCTGACCCGTAGAAATAAATTTGACATAAAATAAGCAAGTTTACTGTAGAAATAAGAAAGCCTGACATGAAAATAAGCAAATCCAACTTATATCTCGCACCTGCGACCACGTTGCTGATTCATCTTAGCTCTGGGGGCCACACCATCAACGGCCATGAAGAACACTTCCCTCGGCTGAATTAACCGGAAAAGAACCTGGGGGAAAAATACCAGTATGTTCAACAATTTTTCACAGGGAAATAAAAGTTTGGACAGCATTTACCTGGGTGGTGTTGGTGGTACTGAGGTGGTACCGAGTGTACCTCTGACAATATGTTCTGGGTTCAATCCTTAGCCCGGGGCAGATGTGAGAAAGAAGGTGCGTAATCCAGTGTGACCCGACCAAACATGGCAGGTCTTCTCCAAGTACAGTACAATACTACACTTTCCTCCTGTATTAACACTGTACCATGGAGGATGGTCCTCACTACCAAACATGGCAGGTCTTCTCCAAGTACAGTACAGTACTACACTTTCCTCCTGTACTAACACTGTACCATGGAGGATGGTCCTTACTACCAAACATGGCAGGTCTTCTCCAAGTACAGTACAGTACTACACTTTCCTCCTGTATTAACACTGTACCATGGAGGATGGTCCTCACTACCAAACATGGCAGGTTTTGGTTTTAAGTTAGGTTGGATTAGGTTATATTTAACAAATTAATGTTAGATTAAATTTAGGGTTCCTAATTTTCATGATATGCTAAAATAAAGGGACACAGACCAACACACATATACAGTAGGCTCTCACCAATAACGTTTAATAGGTGCCTGAAAAACACCATTATTAGCGAAAACGTTATTTATGTGACATTAAAATACATGTAAAAAGGGTTTGCTGGTGCCGCTGCCACAAGAATTTCACCCATTTTTTCCCTTTGAAGCCCTGCCTAACACTTTTTGTGAGCTGAAATAAAAAGAATTGCTATTCAATCATCAAAATAAAGAGTTTGAGTAATATAACACTTAGTTTTTGAGGTGCTTGGTGTGATGATTGTTCCGTATCTGAGGGCCGCTAACACTTGCACTGTCTTTCATTCTACAAGCTGACCATTTCACAAGAAAATGCTCTGTTATCACTAACAACCTGTTTCTATCGCCTTTATCATTCATAGCTCGCCTCGCATTTCCATCACTACCGAAATATTTTTATCCAGCACAATACTCTTCTTGGTCTCCTCTAAGTTCCTCTTAATATTTCGCACTGTAGACTCAGGACAGTTCAATTTCCTCACTTTAAAAGTTCCCAGTCATTCAGGTGGCAAATCTTTCCCTCCACCACCTCCCTAGCCCCCACAGGCAAAAATGCGGAAGCCATTATTGATCACCGACCCTAACAACCACTAGTTATAGTGGGGAAAATCTCACACGTGGGTGCAGCGCTGTATTCCACTGAGCGTGTGTGAGAGTGAGAGTGAGGCGGAGTGGACAACTACGTCATCAACATGGCGGCAAACAAATGCTATCAATGATGCGCTCGGACGCTTCCCGCGAAATTTCCGTTATTCAAGAGAATCCACACGTTATTATCAAAAATGGGTACCTATTGTAACTTACCGTTATTGTCGAAAATGTTATTGTGGAAGTCGTTATTGGCGAGAGCCTACTGTATGTCCAAAACAACAATCACTTAATTAACACAATAAAAACCAACATTAACTTACCTCAATATAATGAAATATGTCCTTAAATATTTTTTCTTCTGTTATACGGAAGTGAGGATCATTGTCGTTGGGATGAGAACAAACGTGTATTATCCCGTTCATGTCCAGGTAAAGGTTGTCAAATTCTGGGATCTGAAACGAGCGAGAGAAAGTAAGGAACAATCCTCAGGAACGTAACTCATTTGTAACTACAGTGTAACCTTCATATAATGAACTTATCTTTCTAAATAACTTGTTAGACAGGGGGCTTCACATATAATGGACATTCATATCTATATAGTTGGTTAAATAAAAGTTTGATGTGGTGAGTCTCTCCCAAACAACGATTCTTACATAATAGGTTTTAATGGAGATAACATGAACTAATCTAACCAAATCTATCTAAAATAACCTAGCTAACCTAACCTAAGCCACCCCCGAGGTAACAGCACAGAGGTTTATCATCAAGTACTCAATGACTCACACCTCACCTCACCTAACTTCACCTCACCTCACCTCACTTGTCCTTGTAAAAAAATAAACATATTACTTTTCATCCGCTCACAAGACATCATGAAGCACCTACATACAAAGATCAGTCAATATAATAAAACACAACAAACGACAAAAGCAGAATAAATAACATTAACCAAACACCAATGGTGGGCACAGCTAAACGAAAAGTTACCTTCGCTAAACGCTAATCCACTAACTAAAAAGTAAACTTCGCTAACGCTAAACCGCTAAAAAAAATAGCGGAAGCTAACTCTAACCGCTAACTTTTATTATGTGAATTTAGTTTCGTTTTTTTTTTTTTTAGGGGGGGGGGCTCTAAAACTCTTAAAACAGACCTAGAGAGCTGAAATTTTCATATGTTGTCTTGTAGCTTAGACATAGAGCTTTCCAAAAAGGTATAACATGCCAAGATCAGATGATGATCAAGGTGTATACATACAATTAAATGAACAAATAAAATTAAACATTAGTTTACATTCAAGTTTCTACATACACTTTATAATCTTTATTTACTGTACGAAAAGACAAAGTATTAAACAAATCCAAAAACTATAATACTGTATAGCACAGGTAGCAAATAGCATCATGCCAAGATCAGATGATGATCAACTCATCAAGGTGTACACTGTACACAATTTCACAAATAATTAATTTGCATTCTCATACAACCTATCGGCCTTACTCATTATTCATTTAAATATGCAATACCAACCACATACTGTACACATTATACCAGTCCATTTTTATATAACTTTTTGTTGCCAGACACCATGACATAAAACAATTATTTTACACAACTCAGGACACAAATTTCCTTAACAACACCAATAAAGTATATATATATATATATATATATATATATATATATATATATATATATATATATATATATATATATATATATATATATATATATATAGAGAGAGAGAGAGAGAGAGAGAGAGAGAGAGAGCCCAGTATGGGCCAATAGGCCAGCTGCAGTTTCCTCCATTCTTATGTTCTTATATTCATTTATAAACTGACATAAATTAAAAAAAAATTATATAAAAATAAAACAAAATACGAGATAAATAAGTCGATATAAGCCATATATGGTATAATATCAGAGGTATATATAATTAATGAATAGGCCACAATACTATCAAAATCATTCAAAAACGCATAAAAATACGTAGAAATAAGACAAATAAGAGAAATAAGCAATACCTGATATTCCTTGACTACTTCACTTAGACATGGATATCTCTCGCTTATCCATCGGTAGAATTTAGGGACACCCATCTTGTCTCTGTGTTTATGACCTTCTTGATGAGGTCACACACACCCCAAGGTCAAGAAGAGGCACTTAATAATGACCTGAGTGTGTGTGTGTGTTGTTGTTGTTATGGTGAGAAAATTTATAATGGTGTAATATTTGTGGCGGGTAACATCTGTCATGTTGCTGAGGCTACCACGAACACCACTAATGGCTTAAAACGTTTTGTCTTCTTTACTTTTGCAATCGTTAGCGGTCGGTCACGTAGTACTGGGCAAGTAATGACTATTGAATGTATCTGAACCTGATCCAGTGTGGCAGATTGTTAAAAGAGCTCACAAATTTCACTCCGAAACTTTTCCTCAGTTTTCTGAACTTGTGGCTCCTTACAACCTTAATTAAGATGTGGGGCGGTCCCTCCAGCTCCAGGTATGAACATTCGGTCTTCTGAGATATTTATACACTTCTATTAAGTCATCTCTTGCCCTCTTGTCAACGGTGTCAGCTCAAATGGTTAATCGGCGATTTTATGCGATTTTTACCATCTTAGTTAAATGATCAGATTTGGTTAGGTAAGGGTATTTTAGTTTCAATCATCCAGGGAATCTTAGGAATTAGGTTAGGTTAGATATGTAAACTATGTATTTCCAGTGGTTTTTATAAGTTTTGAACTATTTGGACCTTCTTATCTGTCGGAAGTCACAAAGTTTATATATGTAAATACAGGCGTGGTCGAAACTAAAATTTTACCCAGGTTAGGTTATATTACATTAAATAGCACGGAGAAGATCGTCCAAGTGGGATGTAAAAATTGTTGTCAACAGCCACACCCAAGTCCTTTTCACATTTGCTCTCCATTAATGCTGTTTCATCGTCTTATTGGGACATGTGATACGCCTTCTTAATGTTGGTACGACCTTCAGGTGCCATTCCTTTTACCACTCCTGAAGCTGACGTAGATCTCGCTGAAACTTTTTACCTTCCGAGGAAAACAGGTCAGTGGCCTGTGTAGGATCCCTCCATTGCTTTTGGTGGTCTTGTCAAGGGCTATTTTGAAGCCCAGTACTGTTCTCAGCTCGTGCTGGTAGACTCAAGGAGAGTATTCCGAGGTTAGACAGTTCCAACTACCGCCACCACAGCTTGTATTATTAGTATTATTGTTATTATTATTTTATTACGAAAATAAATATAATTTTAAACCTAGTACTGTCACCCCGCCTGGTCCCTGACATATGCTAGGGACTGTCAGTTGGGTGAAAATGTTCAAAGGAGGGCCACCAAACTGGTGCCTGTACTTAGGCACCTCAGCTACCCTGAGAGAGTGGAACGCCTGAACTTGCCTAGCTTATACTACAGACGGGCAAGGGGGGACCTAGTTGAGGCTGCAACTCTATTAATAAACCGTTTTTTATTTTTATTATTTTATTATTATTACTCAGTCGAGTGTCCTTACTTGGAGCTGGCAGACGCTCGCCCCACAAGGGGTCACAGCTCAAGATTGAAGAAGCCGCAAGTCCGGAAAACTGTGAGGGCAAACTTTTTCGGAGTGAGAGTTGTGAACTCTTGGAACAATCTACCAGAGAGTGTTGTGACGGCACCGAGTGTGAGCTCTTTCAAGACAAGACTTGACCAACACTGGAACGGGTTCAGGTACAGTCAGGAGCCGGTGCATGCCCAGTACTTGCCAACAGTGCGTGACAGAGACGTGACCGGTCGCCCGGGTGGCTAACGAGCCGATCAATTGGTGGAGAGGATAAAATAAAAAGAAAATTAACAAACGTGACCGATCGCCCAAGCGGATAACGAGCCGATCAGTGGTGAAGAGAATAAAAGTAAAAAAGTAAAGTAAAGTAAAAAAAAAAACTCCATGGTCGTGGATCTCCACACAACACTGGACAATCTGCCACCCAGATACTCAGCTGTGTGGACTTAGACGGTGGTTCTCCTTCACACACCACAAATAAAATAATAAACAATATCTCATGATTAAACTACATGTTTTATTGTAATATAAAATATAAAACTAATTAAATTTATCTAATTATTAAGTCTGATACTTATATACGTGAAATATCAGGGAACACAGGAATTTCAGTATACGAGATTAACAATGGCTTAATAAGGCCCAATAGTTTATCTCTTGTTTATCTTTTTTATCGATACTATAGAAAATAATATAGACTCTTCAAATGTCTGTTGGCTTATGGCCTCAGCTTTGAGTCATGTAATATTACAGCTCTTATCACAGACAAGGTTAAGGTTGTTAGATTAATGTTATGGTAATTTATATTAGGTTAATTGTTTTCTGTTAATATGTCAGATTAATGTTATTTCTGGTTAATATTATGTTAGATTAAGGTTGTGTGGTTAATATTTAATAGTTTTATCACCTAAATAGCCTCTTAAAGACCCTCCACAAAACACTGCCATACACCTATAGTTCCTCACAGTTAAACTGGTTCCCGTTGTTGTCATTTACTGAGACAACAGGTGTTAAAATAAGGAGATAGAGAGTTATAAAAGAAAAAAATTCAGTTAAATATTACATTTGAGTGAAGAAATTAATTAACATGTAAATAAACTGAAACCATCAATTGTCTGCATATCTATAATCTTATTCAATTTACGATTATATAGAGATTTACTAATTATCGATTATATTAGCCAAAATAGAGTTAAGGTGATGAAATAAAATAAAAAGTGTATGGAGAAGGAAATGAAAATCTGGTGATAAATTTAAATCTACGAATTAAAAAGAAAATGTAACAATTATTTATATTATTGGGATATTATTGTCGTTTGAGAATTATTTGTAGTTATTAGAAAAAAATAAGAGTTGATAGAAGATGCGAGTGAATATGGTGGGAAAAGTAGCTTGATAATTAATTTAATCTGAAACATTATTCATTATTATTGTTTTGATTGATTTGAGATTTATCTGAAATAATTTAATCAAGTGTCATTGTCTAATAAAAGATGGATATATTAAGCAATATAGACATAATGACGACTTTATATATACGTAATATATATAAATTAAGAGTTTTGTTTAGTATGTGGCGATTTATATAATGATTTTAGATAATGTATATGAATGCTATTGTCAAATGAAAGAGGAAGATTTAGAGCAGTACAGACGCCATGATGAGTGTATATATACGTAATATATATAAATTAAGAGTTTTATTTCGTATTTGGTGATTTATATAGTGATTTTAGATAATGTATATGAGTGTTGTTGCCAGATTCTGCAGCTGAGAGGTGAACATTTTTATCAGTATAAACGCCATGGTGGAGGTGGAGGCCAATATCTGGGTGTTGAGGAGCGGGAGGTGAGGATCGCGAAAGGAAGATCGAGTCGTCTATCACCACTAGCCAACACCTTTCCACCTCCACTAGAATATGTTTTTTGTGGTTTTGCCGACCTTGTGTACGCCATCTATAAAAGTTCATAGGTAAACAAATGAGACAAATTCACTGTCTATACGCTCACTTATTTGTGAAGTTTTAAGGGAAGGAGAATTTTTTTCCTTGGGGGTGTTGATTATGTTGTGGGCAATGATGGGCAGGTGAGAGTGAGTTATGGTGAGAGTGACGGTCATCTTGGTGACGGGACCAGTGGTATAACTTATAACTCAACTTGAAGTAGTTTTTCTTCCCGTCTGGCCAAGTTGAGGTTATTACTTGGTCTCTTCTTCCTCATATCATTGTCGAGTCTGTGATTTAGAGATATATAATACATTATGGCATCCAATATGAACGATCACAACAGTCAGTTACTGGATAAGTGTAGTAATAATGTGATCAACCTGACGACCAGTGAGACTCTCAGGCTGGATGGTGACAGGAGTAACCTCCACCTTCAGGCTGCTACTGCCGCCGCTGGCAGTCAGGCCTACCAGAAGAAGAAAAACTCCTCCTTCCAGATCACCAGTATTACTTCTCGCCTCAGCAACGATGGAGGTGAGGACAGTGCCGATGACACTGAAGACATCTCGGACATAATGGACAGCTCCAAGGTCACCGACTTCGACCAAGAGACGCCCAGTTTCTCCGAGGACTACTCCAAGTCCGAGGAGGTGTTCTTTGGCCCGGCCCCAATCATCCCCACCAGCTCCCAGTACGGCATAACGGCACTCGTCCAGCAGACGGGCTCCGGAGGGGTGATGACGGCCATGTTACCTCAGGGAGTAACCGTCAACGTGACCGAGGGCGGCATAGCCCTGGCAAAGGCAGATGGGGAATCGGACGATGTTAATCACTGGCAGAATAGGTTTAAGATCGTTAAGATAGACTCTAATGAACCATTTAAGCGAGGAAGGTGGATCTGTCTCGACTTCATGGACTCCCCGGCCGTGTCGGCCGCTGCCGGCCAGAAGAAAGACGAGAGTTCCGTGGTCGTTAACAGTGTTAATCTCAAGGAGATGGATGCCGGAGACCACCAGCCGCAGACCGTGGTACAGCTGTCTGTGCCCATACCGCAGCAGACCCAGACCGGCCAGACCCAGCCCCACTCCATTGCTGTGCCCGCCCAGTACCAAGTGCCGCACTCCTCCCAGGCGTCCACGCCCATGGTCCCGTCGTCCCAGACCAACCAGAGTGGTGTGCCCACACCACACATGTCGGCCGCTCCTCAGGGGACCCTGTCGTACCCTCCGCAGGCCTCTACCATACCGGGACAGTTACAGCCGCCCCAGGGTTATGCCCCTACTGCTCAGACGCCACAGGGGCAGGCGGCCTCGGTCCATCCGTCTCCCTCGGCTCAGACGCCTCCCCAAGCCCAACCTCCCATGCAACAACCTCTACAACAACAACCTCTACAACAACCTCAACCTTCCCAGCCTGCTGTACAGACCACCCTGCAGGCCACCACCCTACCACAGTCAAACCTACAGCCGGGGAGCGTCGCCCAACCCACCATCCAGCCAGGGATGGTGCCCTCAGGGTCCATCTCTCAGCCGCCCCAGCACCAGCCGGTACAGGCCCAGTCTAGCATGCCGCAGCCCACCATCAACGCCCAGAGTCTGCCCGGCCAGAGTGTTCAGCAGAGCGTACAACAGCCGGGGGTGATGGGCCAGGCCGGGATGCCGACGCAGTCCCTCCAGCCCAGCGTGATGGGCGGCATGACGGCCCAGGGTCTGGGACAGTCGGTGGTGACCCACCAAGGTGTTCCCTCACAGCCAACGACTGTGATGAGTCAACCCCAGGTTGGAGTGGCACAGCCAAATCTTCCACAGCAGAGTGTGGGTCAGCAGAGTCTGGGTCAGACAACCGTCGTGCCCAGCGGACCACCGCCCCAGCAGCTGACTCAGACGTTACCTCCGACGACCATGACGGGGTCGCCCCAGATACAGCAGGTGCCCACGTCCCAGCAGATTCCGACGGCCCAGCAGTTGCCCGTCACTCAGCAGATAAGCAGCAACATAGTCCAGGCTGCGGTCCTCACTCAGGCGGCCGTCGGTGCCACCCAGCAGATGTCGGCGGCAGCCCAGACCGGCACCGTCAAGCCCTCGACGGTGTCGCAGGTCAGCCTCGGATCTCATCCCGGCACGGGGGCGGCACCCACACCCGCGACCACGCCGGCTCAGGCCCAAGCTCACCACACTATGGGTGCGCCCACGGTGCAGCCCACACCATCGGCCGAACAACAGACCTCACAACCACAACCTCAGCCATCACAACCACAACAACCCCCGACCAACCTGGAAGGAATCCCACCCGGCCAACCCATGGACGAGGCGGCCAACGCCACGCCTCCAGCAGCAGGTGGCGGCCAACCCGACGACAATGAAAGGTAAAGTTTCTGTCTATCTACCTACTGATACACTACCAGTACTGTATCTATCATTCTGTATACATTACTGTACTGTGTAGAGTCTAGCATAATGATCCACTGAGATGTGTGGTTCTCTTCCACTAAACAGATGTACAGTACACTAATGTTTCACCTTACTTCACTAAAGTACTGAAGATCTCGACACACATATAACCTTTTTGTTATTTTATTAACAAATTTAAAGTCTTATTTACCCTGTTCCATCACCAGATAAATATACCAGTACAACATATACCAGTACAGTACAGTATTTAACAATACAGTACAATATATTCCAGTACAGTATAGTATTTACCAGTACAGTACAATATATAACAGTACAGTACAGTATTTACCAATACAGTACATTATATACCAGTACAGTATAGTATTTACCAGTACAGTACAATATATACCGGTACAGTACAGTATTTACCAATACAGTACATTATATACCAGTACAGTATATACCAGTACAGTACAATATATAACCAGTACAGTACAATACCAGTACAGTACAGTACAATATATACCAGTACAGTACAATATATACCAGTACAGTACAGTATATTACCAATACAGTACATTATATACCAGTACAGTATAGTATTTACCAATACAGTACATTATATACCAGTACAGTATTTAGTACATTATATACCAGTACAGTATAGTATTTACCAGTATACAATATATAACAGTACAGTATAGTATATACCAATACAGTACAATATATACTAGTACAGTATATACCAGTACAGTACAATATATACCAGTACAGTACAGTATTTACCAGTACAGTACAATATATACCAGTACAGTACAATATATACCAGTACAGTACAGTATTTACCAATACAGTACATTATATACCAGTACAGTATAGTATTTACCAGTACAGTACAATATATACCAGTACAGTACAGTATTTACCAGTACAGTACAATATATACCAGTACAGTACAGTACAATATATAACAGTACAGTATAGTATATACCAATACAGTGCAATATATACCAGTACAGTATATACCAGTACAGTACAGTATATACCAGTACAGTATTTACCAATACAGTACAATATATACCAGTACAGTACAGTATATACCAGTACAGTACAATATATACCAGTACAGTACAGTATATACCAGTACAGTACAATATATACCAGTACAGTACAGTATTTACCAGTACAGTACAATATATAACAGTACAGTATAGTATATACCAATACAGTGCAATATATACCAGTACAGTACAGTATTTACCAGTACAGTACAATATATAACAGTACAGTATAGTATATACCAATACAGTACAATATATACCAGTACAGTATATACCAGTACAGTACAGTATTTACCAGTACAGTACAATATATAACAGTACAGTATAGTATATACCAATACAGTACAATATATACCAGTACAGTACAGTATTTACCAGTACAGTACAATATTTACCAGTACAGTACAATATATAACAGTACAGTATAGTATATACCAATACAGTACAATATATACCAGTACAGTACAGTATTTACCAGTACAGTACAATATATAACAGTACAGTATAGTATATACCAATACAGTACAATATATGCCAGTACAGTATTTACCAATACAGTACAATATATACCAGTACAGTATAGTATATACCAATACAGTACAATATATACCAGTACAGTACAATATATACCAGTACAGTACAATATATAGCAGTACAGTATATACCAGTACAGTACAGTATATACCAGTCCAGTATTTACCAGTACAGTACAATATATACCAGTACAGTATTTACCAGTACAGTACAATATATACCAGTACAGTACAATATATATTTTGTCTTGATAATTTTATGTAAAGTAACAGTTGGTAATAAAGTAATGTGTAAGTGACCCTCGACTGCTGCTCCTCACAATATTTTTAAGTATTGGAGCAAAATTCCCCAATATTAATATTTATTTGGTGAAATATTAATATGATGGTCGTACTTTATTTAATTATTAATTTATTTATATTTTTTTATCTGAATGTTATGTATGCAGTACATTATATACTGTATGTGTTATTGAAGGCTCTTTATATTAATTTATTAATGTTTTATCATATAACCATTCATCACCTTATTAATTGTTACTTTGTTAAGAACATTATATTAACATTATGGTTTTGGGATTATGATCATAGAAAATTGGTGATGTTAGTTTGGCTTACTTACTGTAATGATGGAACTCTGATTTATATATAGTATTAATTTTATTTTTTTATTCTACGGTTCTTTTAAAACTGGCCGGAAATACAAGCTAAATCTGTATTAACTTCCTTGACCTGACCTGACCTAACCTGTACAGTATGGTGAGTGACCCATGACACACCCTGTACAGTATGGCGGATAACCTATGACACCCTGAGCTTATATAAGCCTGTATTTATATCGACCTTTTATAATAAATATTTAACATTTTCTAACATCCTCTCTGAAGAGCTAATGACTTGAGATCATTTACATTTTGATAGTCCAGATATTTAACATTATTTTAGATAATAACAGATCTGCTGACCTATTGTGAACACATTTGTGTTTGAATTTTCTATGAACCAATCAGCTACAGTATAGAAGAGGGGCGTGGCTTATGGGCCAGGTTAGCATGGAAAGGGTACAGTTATAACTACACTACTACAATAATTCTAACTATGTAATTCTTTAGATAAAATTATTTCACACATACAGTATATAAATACAAAATGCTGTACAGTAAGTCCAACAGTATAATTCCCAAGTTACTATTAAATGCAAAATAATTCTTAACACAATTTCCGTAGGTAGAATTATTTGACAGATACAATGACCAAGTATACATAAGCATTAATTCCCTAGGTAGCATTGCTTTATGAACAACTCACTTATATACAGTATTAAGTGGTAATCTAAGTGGTATATTAGTGTTGATACATCCAGCACCACTGAACTACACTTGAAAATTTTGGGGCATAATATACGTAACACAAGTGGAATGTAAATATGCATTACCATACTTGTAGTTTATGCATCTGGGGCTAGACCTGCGGAAAATAAAGGTTAGTTAGTGTTTTGATTGTGAAAATCTTTTAAAATGGGTAAAAAAAAGAAATCACACAACCTAACTCGTAGAAATAAGCGTCTGAGAGCTTTGTCGACTGGCCTTGGTCATATTGCCTCACTGTTTACTGTTATTGTGTACTTACATTGTTTGTTCAAGTTTTTAATATATGCTAACCTGTATACCTACATTGTTTGTATGCCTACATAGTCTGTACAAGTATTTAATGTATGACAACCTGTATACCTACATTGTCTGTGACAGTACAAGTATTTAATGTATGCTAACCTGTATACCTATATAGTTTATATACCAGTACAGCCAAAATGAATCACTCAGTACTGTCCTCATATCCCAGGGTTGATGACCACAGTCCTCCATTCTAAACGTTGTTGGGTTCCTTTTTACCAGTACTGTACTCTACTGAAGAAATATTATTATAGTAGTAGGTTGGGTTTAATTGATTGGTCTTGTCTGTTTGAAATAAAGTGTACGTATTGTATCAGTCTTAATGATAGAAGCTATAGTCAGGTACAGGATTTCATCTCTATAATATATAGCTGATGGATACATAGACTTCAGCTACAGTACCATACAGTCCTTATGATGGTACACAGATCTTCAGTACCATACAGTCCTTATGATGGTACACAGCTCTTCAGTACCGCCACAGTCACTCCTGTGTGTGTGTGTGTGTGTGTGTGTGTGTGTGTGTGTGTGTGTGTGTGTGTGTGTGTGTGTGTGTGTGTGTGTGTGTGTGGTGGCTCTTCCAGTACCATACAGGTCCTTATGATGGTACACAGCTCTTCAGTACCATACGGTCCTTATGATGGTACACAGATCTTCAGTACCATACAGTCGCCCATGATGGTGCACAGCTCTTCGGTACCATACAGTCCTTATGATGGTACAGCTCTTCAGTACCATACAGTCCTTGCTGATGGTACACAGCTCTTCAGTACCATACAGTCCTTATGATGGTACACAGCTCTTCAGTATATACAGTCCTTATGATGGTACACAACTCTTCGGTACCATACAGTCCTTATGATGGTACACAGCTCTTTATTACCATACAGTCACTTATGATGGTACAGCTCTTCCGTACCGCCACAGTCATTGCTGATGGTACACAGATCTTCCAGTACCATCCCAGTCGCTTATGATGGTACACAGATCTTCGGTACCATACGGTCATATATTGGTACTGAATCTTCGGTACCGCCAGTCCTTATGATGGTACAGCTCTTCGGTACCGGTCTTATGATGGTACACAGCTCTTCAGTACCATACAGTCCTTATGATGGTACACAGCTCTTCAGTACCATACAGTCGCCCATGATGGTACACACAGCTCTTCAGTACCATACAGTCCTTATGATGGTACACAGCTCTCTTCGGTACCATACAGTCCTTATGATGGTACACAGCTCTTCCAGTACCATACAGTCGCCTTGATGTTTTGGCTCTTCAGTACCATACAGTCCTTATGATGGTACCTGGCTCTTCGGTACCATACAGTCCATGCTGTTAAGGTACACAGATCTTCAGTATTTTACGCTTGCAGTCGCACTGATGTACACAGATCTTCAGTACCATACAGTCCTTATGATGGTACACAGATCTTCAGTACCATACAGCAGTCATATGATGTTTGCACAGCTCTTCGGTACCGCCACAGTCCTTATGATGGTACACAGATCTTCCACGGTACCATACGGTCGCTTATGATGGTACCACAGATCTTCAGTACGTAAAGTCCTGCAGTGGTACACAGCTCTTCAGTACCATACCAGCAGTCCTTATGATGGTACACAGATCTTCCGGTACCATACGGTCATATGATGGTACCACAGATCTTCGGTACCATACGAGTGCACTTATGATGGTACACAGCTTTCTTCGGTACCATACGGTCCTTATAGTGGTACCACAGATCTTCAGTACCACATACAGTCCTTATGATGGTACGCTCTTCAGTACCATACAGTCCTCATATGATAGTACACAGCTCTTCAGTACCATACAGTCCTTATGATGGTACACAGATCTTCAGTACCGCCCAGTCCTTATGTTGGTACAGATCTTCGGTACCGCACAGTCCTTATGATGGTACACACAGATCTTCAGTACCATACAGTCCTTATGATGGTACACGGCTCTTGACACCGCACAGTCCGTATGATGGTACACAATCTTTGTTACCCTTACGGTCCTTATGATGTGGTACACAGATCTTCCAGTACCATACAGTCATATGATGGTACACAGATCTTCAGTATACAGTCCTTATAGGTAATTTTGGAATCTTCAGTACCATACAATTATACTCGATGGTACAGATGCAGTACCCATACAGTCCTTATGATGGTACAGATCTTTATTTTTCCTTACAGTCCTTATAATGGTACACAGATCTTCAGTACCCATACAGTCCTTATGATGGTACGCTCTTCAGTACCATACAGTCCTTATGATGTTTTCAGATCTTCAGTACTCGCCACAGTCCTTATGATGGTACAGATCTTCAGTACCATACAGTCCTTATGATGGTACACAGATCTTCAGTACCAGCGTCCTTATGATGGTACACAGATCTTCGGTACCGCCACAGTCCTTATGATGGTACACAGATCTTCAGTACCATACGGTCTATGATGTTACGCAGATCTTCAGTACCATACAGTCTGCCGCCGAGTATTTTAGATCATCAGTACCGCCTGGTCCTTATGATGGTACAGATCTTCAGTACCGCCACGAAGTGCTTATCGATGGTACCTGATCTTCGGCTACATACAGTCACTATGATGGTACAGCTCTTTGTTTTCATACAGTCCTTATGATGGTACACAGATCTTCGGTACCATACGGTGCCTATGATGGTACAGATCTTCAGTACCATACAGTCCATATGATGGTACGAATCATCAATGCCATACGGTCACGCCTTGATGGTACAGATCATCAGTACCACTTTGATCCTTATGATAGTACGATCTTCAGTACCTTTTAGTCCTTATGATGGTACACAGTCTTCAGTACCATACGGTCACTTATGATGGTACACAGCTCCTTTACGGTACCATACGGTCCTTATGATGGTACACAGATCATCAGTACCGCCTGAAGTCCATATGATGGTACCACAGATCTTCAGTACCATACAGTCACTATGATAATTTACAAATCATCAAGTACCGCCACAGTCCTTATGATGGTACCTGGCTCTTTATTACCGCCAGTCGCCGCCAGTGGTACACAGCTCTTCCGGTACCATACAGTCATATGATGGTACACAGATCTTCCGGTACCATACAGTCCTTATGATGGTACACAGCTCTTCAGTACCATACAGTCCTTATGATGGTACACAGATCTTCAGTACCATACAGTCCTTATGATGGTACACAGATCTTCAGTACCATACAGTCCTTATGATGGTACACAGCTCTTCAGTACCATACAGTCCTTATGATGGTACACAACTCCTTTGACACCATACAGTCGCCTGTTGGTACACAGATCTTCAGTACGCCACCGTCCTTATGATGGTACACGCTCTTCCAGTACCGCCACGGTCATATGATGGTACACAGCTCTTCAATGCCATACAGTCCTTACCATTGTTGCAGCTCTTCAGTACCATAGAAGTCCTTATGATGGTACACGAGACTCTTCAGTACCATACGAAGTCCTTGCTGATGGTACACGGCTCTTCAGTGCCATGCAGTCCTTATGATGGTACACAGCTCTTCAGTACCACTTTACAGTCCTTATGATGGTACAGATCTTTAGTACCATGAGTGCTTATAATTAATTTTACAGATCTTCAATTTGCCCACAGTCCTTATGATGGTACTGGCTCTTCAGTACCATACAGTCCTTTATGATGGTACCAGATCTTCAGTACCATGATCCTTATGATAGTACACAGATCTTCAGTACCATACAGTCCCATATGATGTTACACAGATCATCAGTATATACAGTCCTTATGATGGTACACAGATCTTCATTTTCCATACAGTCCTATGATAATACACAGCTCTTTGTTTTCCCTTACAGTCCTTATGATGGTACACAGCTCTTTCGTACCATACAGGTCCTTATGATGGTACACAGCTCTTCAGTACCATACAGTCCTTATGGTATTTTCAGATCTTCAGCCAGTACCATACAGTCCTTATGATGGTACACAGATCTTCAGTACCATACAGTCCTTATAATTAGTACACAGATCTTCGGTACCATACAGTCCTTATGATAGTACACAGATCTTCATTACCATACAGTCCATATGATGGTACACAGATCATCAGTACCATACAGTCACTATGATGGTACGGAATACTAGTACCATACAGTCCATATGATGGTACCCTTTCTTCAGTACCATACGTCCTTGCTGTTAGTACACAGGATCTTCGAGTATACGCATACAGTCTTATGATGGTACACAGGTCTTCCGATACCTGCGTCCTTATATGATGGTACACAGATCTTCAGTACCATACAGTCACTTATGATGGTACACAGCTCTTCAGTACCATACGGTCGCTTATGATGGTACAGGAATGCCGGCACCATACGGTCCACTTATGATGGTACGATCTTCCAGTACCGCCAGTCACTATGTTACAGCTCTTCAGTACCATACAGTCCTTATGATGGTACAGATCTTCAGTACCGCCACAGTCCTTATGATGGTACACAGATCTTCAGCACCACCATTCATATGATGGTACTGATCTTCAGTACCACTTGGTCATATGATGGTACACAGCTCTTCAGTACCATACAGTCCTTATGATGGTACACAGATGCTTCAGTACCATACAGTCATATGATGGTACACAGATCATCAGTACCATACAGTCCTTATGATGGTACACAGCTCTTCAGTACTCATACAGTCCATATGATGGTACACAGATCTTCAGTACCACACAGTCCGTATGATGGTACACAGCTCTTCCAGTACCATACAGTCCTTATGATGGTACAGATCTTCCAGTACCATACGGTCATATGATGGTACAGATCTTCAGTACCATACAGTCCGTATGTTAATTTTAGCTCTTCAGTACCATACAGTCCTTATGATGGTACACAGATCTTCAGTACCGCCACAGTCCCTTATGATGGTACAGCTCTTCTGTTACCGCCTGATCCTTATGATGGTACACAGATCTTCAGTACCATACAGTCCTTATGATGGTACACAGATCTTCAGTACCCTTACCAGTCCATTGCTCGTGTTACACAGCTCTTCAGTACCATACAGTCATATGATGGTACACAGATCTTCAGTACTGGCAGTCCATTATGATGGTACACAGATCTTCAGTACCGCTACAGTCATTATGATGGTACCACAGATCTTCGGTACCGCCACAGTCCATCGCGTGGTACACAGCTCTTTCGGTACCATACAGTCCTTATGATGGCACACAGATCTTCCGATACCATACAGTCATATGATGGTACACAGATCTTCAGTACCATACAGTCCTTATGATGGTACACCGTCTTCACGGTACCGCCAGTCGTATGTCGATGGTACACAGATCTTCGGTACCGCCACCGGTCGCCGCGATGGTACACAGTGTGCCGCGGTCCTGCGGTAGTGCAGATGGCTTCGGTACCGCCACAGTCGGTATGATGGTACAGCTCTTCAGTACCCGCCACAGTCCGGTATGATGGTACACAGCTCTTCAGTACCATACAGTCACCCCATGATGGTACGCAGATCTTCAGTACCATACGGTCCTTATGATGGTACACAGATGGCGGCTCATACGGTCATATGATGGTACACAGATCTTCGGTACCATACAGTCCATATGATGGTACACAGATCTTCAGTCGCCACAGTCCGTATGATGGTACATGATCTTCGGTACCATACAGTCGCACTATGATGGTCACAGCTCTTCCGGTACCATACAGTCCGTATGATGGTACTACAGTCCTTATGATGGTACACAGCTCTTCAGTACCATACAGTCCGTATGATGGTACATAGATGTTCAGGCTCATTACCCCAATATTGACAGCATTTTATTGGAAATTTTCATCAAAATATTTTTATTAAACTGCTGTACAAATACCATGGAGAAGAACAGAAAAATAATGTCTTAGAGTTTATTTATACTGTACTGTGGCACCCATGACTGGCACTCTGGCACACATGACTGGCACTCTGGCACACATGACTGGCACTCTGGCACCCATGATTGGCACTCTGGCACCCATGACCGGCACTCTGGCATATTGACAAACACCATTACTGATTTGTGTCTGAATTTATCAGGAATGAATCACTTAGTATTACCATACAGTACAGGGTGTCCATACAGTACAGGGTGACCATATAGTACAGGGTGACCATACTGTACAGGGTGTCCATACAGTACAGGGTGACCATATAGTACAGGGTGACCATACAGTACAGGGTGCCATACAGTACAGGGTGTCCCATACAGTACAGGCATGTCCATATGCACAGTCCGTACAGTGTCCATACAGTACAGAGTGTCCATACAGTACAGGTGTCCATACATACAGGGGTGTCCATACAGTACAGGGGGTGTCCATACAGTACAGTACAGCACAGGGTGTCCATACAGTACAGGGTGTCCATACAGCACAGGGTGTCCATACTGTACAGGGTGTCCACCACAGTACAGTTGTACAGTACAGGGTGTCCATACAGCACACAGGGTGTCCATTCAGTACAGGGTGTCCATACAGTCAGGGTGTCCATACAGTGTGACCATACAGTACAGGGTGTCCCGCCACAGTACAGGGTGACCATACAGCATACAGTACAGGGTGTCCATACAGTACAGGGTGTGTCCATACAGTACAGGGTGTGTCCATTCAGTACAGGGTGTCCATACAGTACAGGGTGTCCATACAGTACAGGGTGTCCATACAGTACCAGGGTGTCCATGAGTACAGGTGTCCACACAGTACAGGGTGTCCATACTGTACAGGGTGTCCATACTGTACAGGGTGTCCCATACAGTACAGGGTGTCCATACAGTACAGGGTGTACAGTACAGAGCATTGTCCATACAGGGTGTCCATACAGTACAGGTGTCCATACAGTGTCCACAGGGTGTCCACCAGCACAGTGGTGTCCATACAGTACAGGGTGACCATACAGTACAAGTGTCCATACAGTGTGTCCATACAGTACAGGGTCCATGTACTGTCCATACACAGGCCATACAGTACAGGGTGTCCATACAGGGTGTCCATACAGTACAGGGGTGTCCATACAGTACAGGTCCATACAGTACAGGGTGTCCATACAGTACAGGGTGTCCATACACAGTACAGGGTGTCCATACAGTACAGGGTGTCCATACAGTACAGAATGTCCATACAGGTGTCCATACAGTACAGGGCCACATACAGTACAGGGTGTCCCGTACAGTACAGGGTGTCCATACAGTACAGGGTGTCCATACAGTACAGGGTGTCCATTCAGTACAGGGTGTCCATACAGTACAGGGTGTCCATACAGTACAGGGTGTCCATACAGTACAGGGTGTCCATACAGTACAGGGTGTCCATACAGTACAGGGTGTCCATACAGTACAGGGTGTCCATAAATTATCTGATGCATTTTAAAAACTTAGGAACTTCCAAAACATTGTTGATCAAACACTTTGGTTTTTAATGACACCAATTTCTGTACACAGCTACACACTTTACACACTTGTTGTAAGTTTGTATTGTATTGTACAGTATATGATCAGGATTACTATACATTATTTTGTATCACACTGGGGGCAATATAACCTAACCTAACCTAGTCTAATCATCAGATGACATAATTGTAATGTTTCTAATCTAAACGAAATCCTCCATTTATTTACATCATTTGTGTCGGTTCATTAACACGACTGATAGCCCAAGGACCCCCCTCCTTCACCTTATGTGATTTGGGTTCAGAATAATGAGGTGTCATCCAGGTGTGTCATGCACTGCGTCGACCAATAGCTGTGTCACTGCCCGGGCCAAGATGGTTTTCCTTCTTGCTTGGGGTCGACACTCCTTGATTGTGAAAAATTATATAAAGTTTGCTGACTCTTCAGGGTCACTATTTTACTACTGTATGTTAATATAGTGATAATACATAATCAGTTGTCATACAAGTTTACTACGTATTAGTTTCGCATATACAGTACATGTATACAGTATAGGCAATGCATGTATACAGTTCGGCATGTAGCTAAAAAGACAATGCAGATACAGTACAGTATACAGTTCCGGATGTATACAGACACACAGTAGTACAGGTAAACAGTTCAGCATATTTATAGACAACACAGGTGCAGGTGTGCAGTGCATAGAGCGTACACTCAGATATACAATTTTCAATATTAAAAGACTGCAGGTATACAACAATGGTAAAGAGTAAGGCAGTTGGACCAACAAAGCCATCACCACATTCTTATTTCCAGTTTGGTGCTCTATGGTATATATCTGTATCCCCTCTCTGTCACCAAGATAAACCATACCTACAGATAATACTTACAACCATACCTACAGATAATACAGGCAGTCCCCGACTTACGACGGGGTTAGGGACCCAAATCCAGGTCGTAAGTCGAATTGGTCATAAGTCAAAAATGCAAAAATAATACATAGAAAATCTAAAGTGGGTGTCCCTTTTTCTTCTCAGCACCACCAAACTCTCACTTTTAAGCTTGCCAGCCATTTTAAAGGAAATTACAAACGAAAATTTTGTCAGTACACAGCGCAATCACTAACTTCGGGGCTCGAAAATACGTAATTTGAAAAATATTTTATACGACTGTGGCGGTTGTATGTCCGGGTGGTCATAAGTCGAGGAGTACCTATTGAGGGTCTGTAGATGTGAAACCTCTATTTAATGAACT